TGCCTTTCATCGAGAATAAGATCTTCATTTTCTCTTCCAAAGTTTTGCAGAAGTCTCAAAAGCAAGTATAAACGAGATCCATGAATTGGCTTTTGTAGTATAAGATCACATGGTACTTCTTTAGATCTTCTCAAATCTTCACCGGGAGCATTCGAATTAAGCAACCAAACAATTTTATAATGACTTCTAGGAATCTTGTCCGTGAAATTTTTTAAGGCCGATGCTATCTCCGAGAAATTTGCATGAATTAATTCAACAACAATTAACCAATAAATACTGAGACCTCCAGAGCTATTCTTAAATTCCTTATTGGTTGAAGGTAGAACATTATCCATCTCAATATCCTCTTTCTCCTTGCTTGACTTATAAGATGCCGTCATATTCAAGAAATTGACAAGTGACTTTGTATCAAATTTACCTGAAATATTAAAATTATCCTTGATCTTCTCAAGTGTAGGATAAAGAAGCTCCCGATGATTAATTGTCCATACTTTTACTCCTAAGTTTTGCATCCATCTTTGCATTATTCTTTTTGTTTCATCACCTTCAACCATAAGTAGCGAATGAATCCCTTCTATTGATAGACCTCTTCTGAATGCCAAAGTTCGAGCATTTGATTGTATAATCTGAGTACTTGACTCGATGCACAATATACTAGATTTTTCATCTTTTTCTTCACCTTCTGAGTCACTTGATTTTAGAAATATATTAAATCTAAAACAAGTTCCCGGTTCACTTGGATCTTTATCTTGAATTTTGATTTCGCCACCCATAAGACGCACCTAAAAGAAAGAAAAAAAAAGAAGTTAGTATCACTCTAGAAGTAAAGATATTAATTAAATTATAATATCAAAAATATAAAAAAACATAGAAAATAAGAATGAAATTATCAACAATACTCACATAAGATTGAACTATCCCAAGTCCCAAACCAGTGCCTTCGTAATCTCTGTTAGATGATTCTTTAACTTGCACATAATTCTCAAACACAGAAGCTCTTTTCTCCTTAGGGATCCCCATACCTGTATCATCTACCTCAATGACAATTTCGATGAGGCTATTATCATTTTGAATGAGACTTTGATCTCTTTTATCTTTAGATATCCATCTTAATAGAGGATTAAATGCATTCCTTGAGTTGCAAAAATTCTGAGAAGAACATCTGAGATTTTCTAAGCTTGGCTTTTTAGCCCATGCACGCAAGACAACATGTCCCTCGGATGTAAACTTCACAGCATTGCCCAATAAATTATCGATGATTTGCTTAAGTCGTCTGCAATCCCCTTTGACGTTGCTAGATAAAAGAATAGAGCAATCACAAGGATCCCAAATAACCTCCAAACCCTTTTTAAGGGCTACAACATGAAAAATATCGACCGATTCTTCAAGAACTTGTGCAATATCAAATTCAATTTCTTCTAGTTGCATTTTTCCTGCTTCGATTTTACTTATATCAAGTACAGAATTTAGAATACCTGCAAAAGAAAAAAATTGGGAAAAGATAAGACACTTTGTTTGATGAAAAAAGCTAAAAGGATATGATAATATTGTACTTTGAAAACATTTATAACACATTCATCTATGATGAAATAACCCATGATAAAATAAATAATTAACATTTTCTAATGAACTTACCGAGAAGTTTTGATACACAGCCATTCATTTGCTCCAAATTTCGAGATAATTCAGAATTTTGAGGAGTATCACTACGGCATATTTCTATCAGACCAGTGATCCCTGCAAGAGAAGTACGTATATCGTGGCTAGCACTAGCAAATGCTAAACTCTTGTTCATACTTTTTCTTTCTGCTTGCTGTATGATCCCTTTTTGCTTGATGAGATCAGCTCGCAGAAAAGTCTCATGTAATTGTGCTCTTTGAAGCAATTGTAGCATCACATAGCTCCCAAGAATTGTCCCAAGAATCATAAACAACACCAATAAGACGATAGCAATCTTCGTTTTCTGGAATAATGGTACAACTTCTTTGTCAGGAAGAGTTACTGTATATACCTATTAAACAAATAAGAATATACACAGTTAATTTGAGGCAATGATGATTATTTTGTAACTAAATAAGATTAGTTTCAATAAAATGTTGAAGTATCAAAGTGTCTTACCAGTTGGACTCCAGAAACATTTAGCAGAAAGCAATCAAGCTGATATCTCTTACCCGAAATCCACAAGTAATTTGTGTTTGATGGCCGGATGGAAGTATTATCATGACATGCAAAGCTATCGTACTCTTTTAATACATTGGTATCATTCTCATCCATCACAAGAACTGACATCATGCTATTATTGTAAACAAAATGGGTATGAGGAGGCCCGTTTTGTGCAATGATATGCCCTTCTACAGCCAAGTGAAAGCATCCACCTTGAAGATTGATCCTTGAAATAGAATCTCTCAAACTTCTTAGAGGAACTCCCAGTGACAGAATCCCACTCTTAGCAACTGGAGCTGTAAAAAGTAGCATTTGCTCCTTGGCATTTCCCCACCCAACTCCCCATGAAGCCTCTCCTTTCCTACCACTCGATGCACCTTTGGAGTCATTCGACTGACCTGGTTGAAAACAGACAATCTTCCCATATGGTTTACCAGTTTCTCCATCTAATGCTTGAGTGCACCACGAATAGGCAAAGAAATCATCAGAAGTATTTGATACGTTAGAGAACAAATTGTAACTTTGATTTCCATCACGATAATAAGAGAAAAGAATTCCCCGTGGCTCGATATAAGATATCTGTGCGACCCATTGCTCCATCAGAAATGGCACGTACAGTTGTGGAACTATCTGCAAACACAAGAGGTTCATTAGCAAGAGCTCCTCACATTGTGCATAACAGTGGTCGGTTCTTTACCTTGCTCCCTGAAGTGAAGAAGGAAGACAAGTTCTCCTCCCAGCTAAGAGCCTTGGCTGCTTCGTACGTGAATGTGTTTGCCTGGAGCAAGAAGTTGGAGTGATCTTTGATTTGCGAGACTAATGCTTCGAGTGTTTCTTCATTGGCATCTTCCATTGTGTGCTCAACTATCTGACTCGTGAGAATCACCAAGACGAGCACGCTAATGCCCATCATCAACAACAACTGCTCCAAGAATAGGCCAAACAATTGAGTACTGCTGGGTGTCATCATAAGATATCATTCAAAAAATTAGAAACGCTTACCAGAGGATAAAGAATCCAACTTTGACGAACAACCCTATACATGTTCATCTTCTCCTGTTGCTAGACACAAAAGATATGATATCCGATATATTTAAGAACAATGGTGGATCGAAAGTGACTGGTTTTAGCGCCCTTTGTCAGGCAAGTTTGCTATCTCATCGAAGAAAAATCTCGTTTTGCATGTTATTATGTTTTGTAGGCGGCTTACCCACAGTCAGCAGAGATGCGATGAGACACCTGCCGAGGAGAGAAGGCAGCAGCACAGTGGAGGGCACCGCACAAACAGGCCCGCAAAGCTTGGCGGCGGCGATGAGTAGGTCGAAGGATGGAGAAGAGCCGACGAGGGATCGACCGGGTTCACGTCACCTGTCAAAAGACTGGTTGTTTTGTAGGGGCATTACGGTAAATTAAAACGTCTGTAACGAGAAGGAAATCCAAAAACCCAAAACCTGGAGGATCAAGACGTCGGAGACTTGCGACGTGGTCTGGGTGCGCTCCGGGCCGGGGCTGAGGCAGACGTAGCCCGCGCTCTTCCACGGGAAGTGCCAGAGGGGGCGTCGCGGTGAGGAAGAAGGGGGCGCTCGGGGCAGAGGTGGCCGCGTTCTTCCACAGGTGGGGTGCTCGGGGCGGGGCAGAGGGCGCTTCGACGGTCAGGAAGAACGGGGCGATCGAGGCAGACGTGGCCCGCGCTCTTTCACGGGTGGGGCCAGAGGGGGCGTCGCCGGTGAGGAAGAAGGGGGCGCTCGGGGCAGAGGTGGGCCGCGTTCTTCCACAGGTGGGGTGCTCGGGGCAGGGGCAGAGGGCGCTTCGCCGGTCAGGAAGAACGGGGCGATTGAGGCAGACGTGGCCCGCGCTCTTCCACGGGAAGTGCCAGAGGGGGGGTCGCGGTGAGGAAGAAGGGGGCGCTCGGGGCAGAGGTGGCCGCGTTCTTCCACAGGTGGGGTGCTCGGGGCGGGGGCAGAGGGCGCTTCGCCGGTCAGGAGGAACGGGGCGATCGAGGCAGACGTGGCCCGCGCTCTTCCACGGGCGGGGCCAGAGGGGGCGTCGCCGGTGAGGAAGAAGGGGGCGCTCGGGGCAGAGGTGGTCTCGCTCGTGGACGACGGATATTTAACGCCGACGTAACAGGCAAGAAATCCTGCATGATTTTGTTTGACACGTGTCCGATCAAGTCAGTGACATATCCATGTCACCAAACTTGGAGCATAATATGGTAGGCATTACTAATTCAAAATTCTAATATAAAAAAATCCACGATTTTTATATTTATATAAATAAATTGATTCAAATAAGCGACATCCTTTATTGATGGAAGGGGATCTGTTAGGGTTCTTGGGTTCATACATGGGATAGGGCAACCCTAAGTACTAATTTGGAATCCTTAATTTGATTTTGCTGATTTTTTTCCATATAATATTTCCAAATATGGGAGCATCGAAGTCAAATTATTATGCAGCATAAACCAAAAACAATGTATCATTAGAAATTTCAGATGATATCTATGTAATACTAATAACTCTAAACAATTAATGGATTTTATTTCACTTGATCGAGTCAAACCAGGTTGCTCCACTTGCCTGATCTCCCAGTCCGACCCCAATCTAGCAAATAGAACTCTGTGTTCCTAACATTACGTGAACTCGAGTTAACCTGATCGATTGCAGACCTAAGTCGACGCGGTCCGGTTCGGATTGGTTCGTTCACACAGTTATGGTTCGCCTGACCTGATCGATTCGATTGGACCGGAAATGTAGCCCCGGTCTGACCGGTTCCAACGTAGAACAGCCGATTTATTGATGCCAGCCGCCGTTCGTGGTCATACGCTAGCGTTAGGGTTTCCTTCCATCTCTATAAATTGGGACTTCGGACCTTTTCCTACGTCTCGCGTTGGGTTCTTGTGTGGGTTTTGTAGGGCTACAGAGAGAGGAAGATGAGGGATCTTTGTGTGTTGATTCGCGATGCACGATTCTGCGTTCGCAGTTGCAGTATCAATTCGGTTATTTTTTCTTTTCCTTTGGTTTTTGTTCATTTATCCTCCGCAAAGCCTTGTTAAGGTCTATTTGAGTACAAATGTTTGTTGCATGTAGCAATAGGAAAAGGTTGTAGGTTCGCTGTGAGCGGACGTTTGGATTTTGACAGGTTCTGCTTCGCCATGGGGTATGTTGATGTTGAGATACTGTGATGCACGGTGCACCCCGGGTTTCTCTGAAGAGACCTGTGACGATCGAAGCCCCAATGCTTGTGCGGGATTAAGCTTCCGTTCCGTGTTGCAGGTCTGTTGATGAAATCCCACCACTCGTCTGTGTCAAAGTGACGGCCAAATTTCAGAACATTTTCTTTGAAATCATTTCGATCCAGTTGATTTTTGTATCTTGTAGGTTGATCCGCTTTAGAGAATGTGTTCGGAAAGCTGTTACGACGTTTTTGTTAAGCCTCCTTTTACTTTGATTTCTTCGTCTTTTGGCTTTTGTTGTTGTTGGGTCACCTGTGATGACATATCCACGACTTGGAGGTGTAGATAGGTCCAGGTCCCTGTTTTGCAGGGAGAACCTACTTGGAGCTGCTGCATTCAGTTGACATTTCTGGATTTGTCTGAGGCATTGTACCAAAATCCAGCCTTTATGACTTTGTAATTAGCAGCAGGATTCTTTAAGTTGTTCGTTGTCAAAGTACCAATTAAAATTTGGAGTTTTTCCATTGAGCGAAACAATTTTAGTCAGTTATCTGTTGTTCACTGTTTTTTATTGTGATTTAGTGGTGAATGTATACTAAGTATAATGAATAAGTTGCTTAGCCAATTCGAGCGTATGACTTAGTTGAGTTTGTTGTACGTTTGAAGAAAACCTTTCCAGCTTTTTCCTTTTTGTTTTTAGATTTCGTATTTTTCCTGGCTTTTATTTGGTTGGATTATTTTTTTTTTGTGCAAAGGAAATATATCGGATGAGGTTTTGAACCCTTAATTTGAGGTTTCAAACCCTCAAACCTTTGGTAATGCACCATCACTAAACCAATATTTAAGTTGTATGGTTGGATATAATTAATTATACATGACTTTATATGATGTTTCATCTACTTGTTGGTCTATTTATTGGAACTTTATTATCCGAATTTTGTGATTTTTCTCTTAGTGTCTTAATTGGGTCTTTCATTGTTAATCATGTAACTTGGAACAAGTTAGTACTAAAAAAAGAATGTGAATAAGTTTGGATGATTCCTGAAACTTGTTAGTTGAGCATTCTTTAGCATCTCTCGTGTAAGTTTACCTTGAGAAATGTTTTAGATTGCCGAAGATGATTTATCTGCAGAATGGATTTGTTGTTGAACCAAGTCCCTGCATGCAGGGAGAATCTACTTGGGAAAGCAGCAACCTATATGACATCAACTAACACTTCTGTGGCTCCAATCTTTTACTACTTCAAGCCATTCTAGCTTCGTTGGTGCCTGTTTTGCGGTATTTACTGTCATCTAGTTGCATGATTGTATGGTTTTCTGAAAACATTATATATCCATTTGCACTCATATCTGCTTGAAGTTGTCTTTGGTGAGTGTGTATAGTTGGGTAAAAGCAATAATTGTCTATCTTTTCCTACATACAATAATTTATGTTTCTCTAGGAAAGATGTTGCAGATCAGTTTTGTAGATAGGGCTTGTGTGTTACTAACTTTGTGACCTGTCACATCGTAGTACTGGGACCAATTACTTTCATGATATATCTTTCAGTATCTTTCTTTATAAGGTTTTTAGCATGACATCTTCTGAAGTCCATTGCTTACAGTATCATTTGTAATTTTTTATATAATATTTTATGATATATGTTAAATATTTTCCTTTTTGTTCCTTCAAACAATTATCCTTTGAGAACTAGTTTGTTTTGCCTATCTAGTATTGCAGTGATTGTTGACAATACCTGAGTTTAACTATCCTCCAGCTGCTCGTTAATGATAGGCCTGGAGGCTGAAGAACTCAGAAATGTTGTGTTGCCATCAGCTTCATCTCCTGTCCTATGAGTTTGGAGTTAAATAACAACACAAAATTTTATATTTGTAGATATACATTCTTGGAGTTTGTCATACGTATTCTTTTACTTAACAATTACCTATATGAGTTGCCAGTGCTGACCTCTCTTTGATGTTGTTTTATGTGAGCCCTAAATTGGCATTCAGGGTACGGCTGTTAATTACCTTCCGGTATTCTGCAACATGGAGATCGATCTGTCAATATCCTTCGATGAATTAGGCAACAACTATTCTGTGCTCGTCCTGTGCCAGTGTTATGTTGGTAAAGGTAAAATTCAAATTTTGAGTACCATGTCTTAAATTTCCAGTCCATTGTTTTGCTGGGGTTTCCCATATAGTTATTTAGCAAGTAGTCCATTGTTCTTTTTCATCAAATATTTATGTTCTATGAAAACATGACTTTTGGTTTGCTTGATACTTTTTCATTTGTTGTTATTTTCCCCATTGGAGTAGTGACATTTTTACACTAATAATTGTCATCTGAATTAATTTACTTTTTTACAACTTCAATTATAATCTCAGAAGCTGATTAAATGCATTTTTTTCTCTCAGGGACATGTACAAGTTTTGGTGGTTCAGATTCCCTCGTGAACTTTATCCAGTTGGATCAGATTTCTACCTCTATACTTGTTACTAAATCGAAGCGGATAGGTGATAGTGACATCCCAACAGCATGCCATCGTCTTCTTCCTCACGATTAATTTAACGTTGCCTTCTTTAAGAGTTTCGAGTGCACAGATGCTTCTTCTATTAGGTGAATAATCTAATATTGTTAATTTAATACAGTGCATTAAATATTGGTAGTATCATATTGACTACAAGTTGTATGATGAGATCTCTGTCATCAGCCGAGGGGCTGTTTTGGGCAATACCCTTTTGAGAAGCTTCATAGTTCTGTATTAGACCTGCAAGTACTTGGGAATCGTCTAAATAGGAATGTTGTGAGGGACCTGATCAAAATTCCCAGGTCTATGGGCGATCTCTCTGTAAAAACCGTAATGGATATCCTATTTATCTCTTATTTTATTGGACGTTCTTTGATGTCTCCCTCTCCTTCGGTGTCGGTTCCCTTTCTACCTGGACGAAGAGAGCAGAGCAGAGACGAGGAGGTGGGTAGCGAGTGACTTGCTAGAATAATAATGAAAACGAAAATGTAGCGAGCGACTAAAGTCAAGGAAAGGACAATAATGAGAACCATAAAGAGGAACAACATGATGGAAGATTAATTAACTTAATAGTTATAGTTAAATCATCTTATCACATAATAAACTTCAAATCTTGTGAAAGATAATGATATACTAATTCGACTACACACGTCACGAGCTACCTGCCATCACAATCAACCTATACTCTTCATCTCAAAGAAGTTGCACGCAAGAACAAAGAGCATTGGAATGAAGCATACATTGCGATGCCACTGTTTTCGTATCCCGATTTGTGCCACGAGTGGTTGCACTCATGGAATATATGCAAGAAAGCACCTGTAATTAATTGTTATTGCATCAAAAGGCGACATGTACCGACAACGGCATGTGGCTCGTGCCAGAAAACGGGAAGGTTAAAGATGGGAGAGCACGACCGAAGACCGCCTTCTCTGCTCTCAACGTTTCCCCTCCTCTTGGGATCTCCTTCCCTAACTCTTTCTCGCCTCGCTGGAGGATGCGATTCGCCGCCTTCTTCCTCGACGGCGCCGCCCGCGCCTACCGCCACCGCCCCACCTTCTCCAAGCTCGTCCTCGTCTTCGCCGCCAGGTCCCTTCTTCCTCCCCGATCCCGGAAGCGGGGGTCTTTCAGATCTTGGCTTCCGATCTGCTTCTTTCTTGGTCTGATAGAAGCTCCCCACATAGTTCGATCGAGTACATAGAGATACTGCAGCTTGGTTTAGCCCTCCTTTTGTGCGCTTAAGCTCGGTAATTTGCAGTGGTGGGGGTCTCGTAGCGTATGCTGACGCAAGAGCAGAAGTTGCTGCCGAGTCGCCGGGCGTTGCTCCCAAGAAGAAGGTGGTGGTGCTTGGAACTGGCTGGGCTGGCACTACTTTCGTGAAGAATATTGATAGCTCCTCGTACGATGTGCAAGTGATATCGCCTCGGAACTACTTTGCATTCACGCCTTTGCTGCCGAGCGTGACATGCGGGACGGTGGAACCCCGCAGCATCGTCGAACCGATACGCAAGATCATAACAAAGGTAGACAACCTTTCGGTGGAACCAATTGTTCGTCTTCTTTATTCTGAAGCTGTGGTGACACACTGCCTTGATGGATGATCTCCGAAGCATTCGTTTCAATAAGTTTCTCCTTTTCTTAGGTATCCGGTGATATATGCGTGGCTCTTCTAGTATTTGTTTTCCCTGTTGTCTATAAGGGCTCGTCTTCCAAAAAAAGGAATAATTAAGTGGATGTTGATACTCAAATCTTATAATTTGTAGGGGAGGAATGTGGATATTAAAATTTCATTTACCATAGAAAGATCTAGGGAAAAATTGCTTGATCCTTTTTGGAAAGGATAAAGCAGAACAGGTTTTGATCCACTACAATTTTCCATGCTTGAACTTCATAATCTCATAAAATTCTGGTAAATATGGTATGAATTATGATACAATTGAGTCAAATATGGGAGTGGAATTATAGTTTTTTTTTTCTTTATTGCACTGAACATTAATTTGCTTGCTTTCATTTCATATTACTGGATATGTTCTATATGTAATAATCAACATAATTACTCTCAGATTTTTTTTTGGATGATGATTTTGCAGAAAGGTGGAGAAATTAAATTCTGGGAAGCTGAGTGCTTCAAGATTGATCCAGAGAACAAGAAGGTATACTGCAGGAGCGATATCGGAACAAATTTGGAGGGAAATGGTGAATTTCTTGTTGATTACGACTACTTGGTGATAGCGGTTGGAGCAAGGGCAAATACATTCAACACCCCTGGTGTGGTGGAACATTGTCATTTCTTGAAGGTAGGTTTTTGCAATCATTGAGGTTCCATACAAAGATGTGAGTCATGTTGGAGTTCTACATTTTGCAGGAAGTTGAGGATGCTCAAAAGATTCGTAGAAGTGTGATGGACTGTTTTGAAAGGGCCACTCTTCCAGACCTCGATGAAGAAGAGAGGAAGAGAACTCTTCATTTTGTTGTTGTTGGTGGTGGTCCAACTGGTGTTGAATTTGCAGCAGAGTTGCATGACTTTGTCTCTGAAGATTTGGCTAAGTTATACCCGACCATTCAGGACCTAGTGAAGATAACAGTCATTGAACATGGAGAGCACATCTTGACCATGTAAGGAGAGCTTAACGGTCATTAGATAGTGATATTTCATCTCAGTAAATTATACATTAATCTAAGTTCAGAAGCACTAAGGTCCCGCAGAGTTGTAAATCATTAATCTTACATCTGTTTGTAAATAAATCCTTGAATTCTTTGGTGCCAGGAAATTTTAGTAACTAGACACCTCTTGATATCGAATACATTATGTCTTTTAACTGTAGTTCTAGACTTCTAGTTGGGCTAATTTCATATATTTCCAAGTTAAGCATAAGGCATGTTACGTACTTTCCAATTTCCTACTTGTACTGCCTCTGTGATTATGATTTGCATTGTCACATCATGCACAGGTTTGACAAAAGGATCAGTAAATTTGCTGAAGAGAAGTTTCAAAGAGATGGAATTGAACTAAAAACAGGATTTAAGGTTGTGAAGGTGTCTGATAAAACAATTACTATGGAGAACGCATTGCATGGAGAGAGTTCTGTACCATATGGAATGGCTGTTTGGTCAACTGGTATTGGAACTCGTCCTGTCATATTGGATTTCATGAAACAAATTGGTCAGGTTAGTTGCTTCTTGTGATCAAAATTGTTTTAGAATGTCTCATTCAGAGATATAGAATACTGTTGTCCAGTCTTGATATTTCTTTAAATTCTTTGTTGATGTCCACAGGGTAATAGGCGTGCATTAGCTACTGATGAATGGCTGAGAGTCCGTGAGTGTGAAAATGTTTGTGCTATCGGTGACTGTGCTACAATGAGCCAAAGAAAAGTCATGGTATGTGCTCTTTTGTTATTGGTCTTACTAGTTTCTCCTTAGAGAAGCAGCACTTTTGGATGTATTTTTGAATTACATGATACGCATGAACACCCACAGGTGCTCATACACTTGTGTACATGCATTATGGATTAGCAGCTTCTGCTTCCCTTATATGTGCTCTTTTTACTCTTCATTTTAAAATGTATACCATCATACCTGGTGAAAGTCATATTATTTTCTGTTTTCCAGAAGCTAACTTTATCAGGCACACTCTTCTTTTCTCATTTAATGTTTGCCAACTCCCTTCAGGTTTTCGTGCCGCACTTCTTTCACCCGGTAGATTCAAGTCTTGATATGTCTGAATAATTGTGATTTTGATAAATCATTTTTATCCAATTGAACACATACTTATGAAATGTCCACATTATAACAAGCTTAATTCTATTTGTTTGGTCGTACTGACAGTAATATTGAATGGTTCATCTACTGCAAATTGAATTCTAAGAATAAAAGGTAAGAGTCTCTTGACTGTTATACACCTTATTAAAGGGACATGTTACATGCAGCTGAACAACATGTGTGATCCATAACTCTATATACATGTTGCCATAAAAAAGCAGCTATCTTTTACTTTTGGTGACCATTTTGACCATCAGTTATAATAGTCTACAACTGATGATTATCTTAAAAGGGAAGTTTAACTGATGATTTTAGATTTTGATTCATAGAGATTCCCCTTTGTGGCTTACAGAAGTTTTTCCTGCAGTTCTTATTTGGTAGCTTATTTGAACTTCAAAACAACCTTTGCAATTAAGTGGTCATAGGTGTTCATCAAGAAGAACTGTAAGGACCTGCTGGTCATGTATAATATGTTGAATAGAGAATAACTAATCAGTGGTTATGTCATGTAAGGACCTGTAGGTCATGTGTAGTCTGCTAACATACTTCATCTTAATATTCTTACAGGAAGATATCATGGAAATCTTTAGATTTGCGGACAAAGATAATTCAGGAACTTTAACTGTGAAAGAGATCCAAGATGTTCTAGAAGATATTTGCATAAGGTATCCTCAAGTTGAACTCTATCTGAAAAACAAGCAAATGAGTGACATAGTTGATTTGATAAAGGCTTCAAAAGGTGATGTTAAGAAGGAAGCTTTAGAACTTAACATAGAAGAGTTCAAAAATGCTCTTGCTAATGTGGATTCGCTGGTCAAAAATCTTCCTGCAACAGCTCAGGTAGTTCTTTATACAAAAACTTAATTACATGGTGCCAACTATCTATCATCAGATTGGCGTATACAGTTCTGCTTATTATGGTACATTGCCAAACCAGGTTGCTGCACAACAAGGGAACTATCTTGCTAGATGTTTTAACAGAATGAAGGATTCTGAAGAGAAACCAGAAGGTCCACAGCGGATAACAAAAATGGGCCGTCATCGCTTTCTTCCCTTTAGGTAACTGCAGAATATAGGGTGCAACGAGTTTAGCAGCTGGTAGTTAACACAGGAAATTATTTATAAAAATGGACTAGGGAATACAGAAACCTGTTAGTTTTAATGTACATGTGGAACTCTCATCTGCTCTGCAGCTCTTTTGATCAAACTTATCCTTTTCTTGAAGCTATAAGCATTTTGGGCAATTTGCTCCTTTGGGCGGAGAACAAACAGCCGCACAACTCCCAGGAGATTGGATCTCTATTGGACATAGTACCCAATGGCTCTGGTACTCAATATATGCAAGGTAACATTTTTTTTCTATTACCTCTCCTCGAAATCTGTCCATGATCTACTAATTTTCCTCTTGTAGTCGAGTCTTCATCTTACATTAGTGCAAGATCAAATGCCACCTAAACCTCGGTACAACCTTGTTCGCTTATTTATTTGAACCCATGTACAGCAAGCAAGTCAGCTGGCGCACAAGGGCACTGGTAATATCCGACTGGACGAGGCGATTCATATTTGGGAGGGACTCGAGCCGCATATAGAGCTCAGCAACAAAACTTGCACACTGCTTGTTGTAAACAAAGTTTGTGTTGGATTTTTGGTAACTCATGCTTCATCATTCCATGAGCTATTTTACCTTATTGTTACTTACACATTGATCACCTCCTTTTCACTGAATCATAATCAATAAAGCTCTTTTAAGATTTGAGTACATTTAGTGTTGTGTGTTGGAGAGATGCTGCTGAGGATAATTTTGCTGTATTCTTGCCAAACATCATTGCTGCTTTCAAAGAACACTATTACTATACAACAGGAGTCTCTTTGCAATTAGATAAATGGCCTAACACTTCTCTTTCACAAGCCACAACAAGATGAGACTAAGAAAGGTTCCATTACTCAGACTCTGTTCATGATAGTTCTGAATAAGATCATCTACCACCTCCACTATGTATACAGAGACAAGTACATGAAACCCTGACCGACTCCAAGGAAATGAAATGGCTTTTGTCAGCCTCAGCATCTGGTGCACCCCCGAGGAGAACTATGGCCAGGCTTCCTATGCTTAAGTAGATGAAGTAGCCATTGTGGCATGTCGCAAAGGAACCAAAGTGAGTTCCCACCATATATTGCCACCCTGCTCTATATGACCCATCAAACTCCTGGAAGATTAAAGAGGTTACATTATCTTGATTGGAAGAAAAAAAATGTCCTTATTAATTTTATAAGACGGTTGTCTAGTAATATTTTATGGATTTAAATGTTAAATAATTTTAAATAAATAAATATATATATATATATATTTATTTATTTATATTGCTAAGATTACTATGTTCAAATGGATGTATTGAGTTGCAATTAGGGATAGTTTTGATAGAACATAAAATAAGAAAGAATAATTTAGGATGATAGAAACATGTGTTCGATAATTGACTTTATTTAATTAGTTAAGATATATTGTAGATATGATTAGATTTTTATTACAGTTATCGATCACCATAAAGAAGTCGAATTATGGTAGAATTCGTTAAGAGATGACTTTGATAGGAGAGACTTTCTTAATAATTCATTTTAGACCTTCTGTTGTCGCCTATAAAACGACAATACCTCCTAGGGTCAAATCAACAAAACCAGAAAGATTATATATCTTCTCTGATATCTTATTTGTTCCTAATCCATTGCTCATAATGGTCTTACAAAAGATAGAAAGAGAAGAGAAAGCAAGTCTCGTTCTCTTTATAGATCAACATTGTTATAGCTTTCGGATCTGATGACGGTGCACCTACAGATCAAATAAAGGCTTTTTAGATAGTATCGAAAGGTACATATCTAAACATGATATATCGTCATTTGATTTTAATTTTTGATATTAAAATTTTTCGCATAACAGTAGCATATTATATTTTTATGCTTATAATGGGTATCAAAGCGATGTTTTGAAATCAAATATTTTATATCATAAAAGTATTTCAGATCTATTTTGTATTTAGATCTATTTATTATCATCTTTTGCTTGTCAAAAGATGTTATCCGATTTTGATTTATGATACTTGAACGATTTGTTTGTGTTATCAATCTACTTTCTATCTAGTATATACTATCGCATACTTATGGGCGATATGAGATTCCTCGTGTTTGATCAATGGACTGTTATTGATAGTTTCCTATCAATAATAGTATTATTGAGGGTAATGGCTTCCGGTAGTCACTAATCCAATCGTGAGCAGCGACTACATATATAGCAAAAGGATCGTAGATAGCAACAATCAATGGCGATCAACCTATCTTGGTCATAAGCGACTATAGTAGTGTCATCACATGCGACGACTATTGTAGCACTATTGTGTGTGGCAGCTACAGTGGCACAATTGCCTATGGCGATTGCCACTTGCATGCAACAACTACAATAGGGCCACTGTCACGTTTGTTGGTCATGGTTGGCATCGATTGGACACTAAAGGCAATGGTACCCTACATGCATAGCAGACTTGTAAGCATCGTTAGGTGTCGCAGTGACAATGTGGTCATTAGTCGATACACAATCATGGGTGGGTGCGATAACATGACGCGGAGATAATGACATTGCCAGTCAACCGCATGCGAACAATCGTGCCATCACAAGTGACATGTAGACGATAGATGGCCCATGCACTGTCGACAAGACCCGCACACATGAGAGTGATGGCTACAACAACGAATTAGGGTTTTTCTTTAAAGGACATTTTTATCTCTAAGACATTAGATAATTCCAATATGTATACTTTAATTCATTTTTTCATTTATACCCTTCTACAATCAGATATTTGCATTTACATTCTAAACAAAATTACAATTTTTACTCTCTAATAATTAAAATTTTCTAATTTATATCCTCAATTATAAAATTAACTAATGTAATTTATTTTAATCAAATATATTAATCAAACTTGATCATGAATGTATTTTGATTACTTAACTAGATTTAGATTTAATCAATCAAGTTTGATCAAATTTAAGGAAAATCAAATTTTGATTTTAATCAATTTTAATTTTGACAAGTTTAATTAGGCGAATGGTTGATCCAAATCTATAAGCCCAATTTGGATAGTCTAATTTTAAGCTTACTCAATTAAATAAGGTTGACTGATCTAAGAGTTTCATAAGAATTATTTAAAAAGTATAAATTATATATTTTTTTATTTTTGTATTATATATTTTTAAAATTTTGCATGTGATAAATAAAATTTAAATTATTATTCTTTGATATTTGTTTAGTTATTCACATGTTTATGTTTGAAATTATAGAATAATATTTATTTTTCATATGAAGGCAAGATTTATCATCATGATTATAGTTATCATATAAGTTTTTCTTTCTATTGATTAATATTCAATAATTATTATGGTGGTTATTATTGAATTGTTTCGATATATATTAAATTAAAAATTTTGATGAATATTATTTACAATTGATATCCCTAAGTTTTATCTAACTTATAGCTACTAAAATGGCTTAGGATGGTAGGTTTATGAGATGTGAATTTCAATAAATATTTTATTATTAATAAGATATTTTAAATTATATTTTTATTATTGTATTGGTCTTATAGCTATCAAAATAACCTAGACTAATAACTTATAAAATTATACTAAGGAATTAGTCTTGAATGATATCAAGAAAAATAATATTTACAATGACTCACATAATTAAGAGATTTAGATAAACCCAAAAAGAATTTATTTCAAATAATTTTTATAGTTTAGGGTTGTATATCTAAGGATAGCAATACTATTTCATAAGAATATTAGTGTCATCGCTAATAATCTTGTAGAATAATCATAACCAGTAGTTTTGAGAAGATTTTAAAAAGAAAAAAATCTATTGTTTCTAATTTTTATATGATATATTTACAACAATTATATTATGATATAGAAATGAAAAGGATCTCTCATTATTTTATAAGTTATAAAAAGTAGTAATTTTAAAAAGTGGTACAATACAATAAAAGAAGAGTTGAAATCAATAAACTAAAACAGTATCTTAGAACTCATCAAATTATCCAATTAATATAAAAGGGTCTATTATATAAACATGACTTAAAAAATAATATGAAATAATATAATAGTGACTTATGGTCAAAGATTTTATTTATAAAGAATTCATCGACTATAATGAGATATTTTTTTAAAATTTTTAAATGAACTCGTTAAGAATCTATCATAATATTAGTATCTCATTATGATTTTGAGTTACATTATATGGATGTGAAAATAATTTTTTGAATGAAAATCTAATTTATATAGTTTAATCTAAATAATTCATAATAAAAATAAAAGAAATAAAAACATTTATATATAAATTTAGAAAATCTATTTATGAACTTAAACAAGCTTCTAGTATGTAAAGTTTTATAATACCATTACTTCATTTATATTAAAAATAAATACTATTGATCGGTATTTATATATGAAGATAAGTAAGAGTAAGGTTATTATATTGGTCTATGCATAGATAATATTTTATTTATTAGTAGTAATATTAGTTTATTACATGAGACCAAGAAATTTCTCAAAGATGATTGATATGAGTGAAGTATCTTATGGTATTGATATTGAGATTTTAGGGATAGATCTTAAAGATCGTTAAGACTGTCTCAAAAAAAAAAAATTGATCGAGTCTTAAATAAATTTAGTATATAACTTTATTCAGTAAATGAGAAAAGTAAAAAAAATTAAATCAAAATAAGTATTTTTAAAATAACTTGAAAAAAAACTAGATAAAGAAAATATTCATTATATATGCATAATTAGAAGTTTATTATATGCTCAAGCCTATACTAGAGCACATATCAATTTTATAATTGAAATATCAAGTATATATTAGACATATCTAAGAATGAAATATTAAAATATTATAAATAAAATAATAAAATATCTAGAAGGGAGGAAGGATTATATACTTACATATATGAAAATAAATCAGTGTAAAATGATGTTATTTTCATATATTGATTCTGTAAATTACCTCGATTTGTCTTGATAAGATAAATTACAATGGTAATTTTGAACTATATTAGGAAGGGTTAACAATGTTATAATACGGAAATATGATATTAATGATATATAACTATTATAACTTATATTGTTAGTCAAACTAAATGTGATATTATGTTTATTAGATTTATTAATTTATTTTATAAAATTTGTATGTATGTTTAAAAGATTTTTAAATTTTAGAATCAAATTAAATAAAATTATCTTAAAATAAAATTTTAGTTTATTTTTTTTATATATCTTACTAACTAATGGGTAAGTGAGAGAATATTAGAATATATGACCTATCTAATTAAATAAAATATATTATAGATATAATTGAATTTTGATTTTGATTATGAAAGAAATTTTAATTATAGTCAAATTCAGATTGATAGGAATGACTCTCCTAATTAAAACTTCTGCTCTTACCTATAAATGGACAAGACCTCCTACAAACAAACCAAATAACAAGATCTTATCTCATCTTTCATTTGTTTCTAATTCATCATCGATAGCGATCACATAAAGAATATAAAGTGAGAAAAAGACGAATCTAGTTCTTTTTGTAAATTGACATTGGTATAGCCTTACGATCTACAACGATGATATACTTATAAATAAAATAAAGGCTTTCTAAATAACATTCAAAGATACATATCATAAATTAAATTTATTATTATTTAAGTTTATTTTTTTTATATTAAAGTTTTTCATATGACAATAACATAATTATCATTTTTATGGTTAAAACATGTGCTACGAAGATATAGAGAGAGATATTTATCATTAAAAAAGTGAGATAATTACTATTAATGTTATAAGAAAAAAAAATATATTAAAAATAATAAAAACTATTTTAAATTTAACTAAGAATATAATTATATATATCTTAATAACGACAAAAAAATTATAACTAAGCTGAAATAATTGAGATTTTATTGTTACAATCTGGAATCTGCATCCACGTAAAATTACATGTACCTTCTTGATAAAGCGAGCTATCTCGGTAGCCTCAGTGATATCGAAGAGGTCGACGAGCGCCTTCCCAGCCAAGCGGAGTGCATCCTGCTGCAGCCTCTGCAGCATGTCTGTCACACCGATCACCGCCCTGCTCTCTCCATCATGGATGGCTAACACTCTCTGCCAAGCAAAACAAATATGTTGTGCGAGTCTCATAACCATCGAAGGACAAGACATTTGGTGCTTGAAGAAGAGGCCGGTGTCCGATGATAGCTATCTTTTCTGAAGATGCTGACAGGAACAGAAGGAAGATGTGGCTGCAGCCAAGAGGATCCGATAGGAATTTGTTTTGTACGGCTGTCATATGCTGTTATGGTGGATGAGGTGGTGGTGATGCTTTTCTTGGTGGATAGGAGGATCTCTACAATGTCTCAGGACCATCTAATTTAGATCAAGAAGGTGGCTCTTGGACCTATTAGTTCTCTAGATGGATGATCTTCTCATCAGTCAAAAACTCATCACTATTTGCTATGTATTCAAAGACATCTAACAAGTAGCTTATTTTGGAGTGGAAGAGAAATGCAGTTCATTTGCAAGCCAAATGTTTGTTCTCCCTCCAACTTTACTTATTGACATCATATTGTCAAAGTATTTCTTAGCTAACACATCAACTATAACCAAGCAACTACCAATCCAATTTTAGTAAGTAGTCACAGAGCATTTACTTCACAAAGCAAAACAACTGAAACCATCAACTGGAAACCAAAGGAAAAGGAGAAGTAGATTGTTCTCTGTTTCAATAAACCAACAGATTATTCTAAATGGAACTGTTTGCTTAATGCAAGAAAGCAACAATCTAATTCTATGCTCCATTGCAACATACAAGTCACAATCACTGAAACAAGCAAAACAACTGAAACCATCAAGTGGAAACAAAAGGAAAAGGAGAAGTTACTTGTCCTATGTTTTCAGTAACTAACAGATTATTTGCTTGCTTCATGCAAGAAAGCAACATTCTAATTCTTTTGCACCATTGCAACATACAAGTCTCAATTCATATCTAGCAACTCTATTAAGAAAGAAAGTTCATAATACACAAAATGCAAGTTCCTGAAACTACACTTTGATGTACATGAAGTGATAGAGACACTACAATTCATATGACTTGTGTCTTACAATCAAGAGAACATCATTATATGTAAAACAAGTGTCAAGTGAAATCTTACAGCAAGTACAGACAAATGAAATAGGAGGAGAAATTATTTGTCCTCTGTTTCAAATACTAACAGATTAAACTAAATGAAATTTTTGCTTGCTTGCTTACGGCGGCAAAGCAACCATCTAATTATTTGCTCCGTTGCAGCAACATACAAGTCACAGTTCATTTCTAGTTTCTGTTCAACTCTATCAAGAAAGAAAGGTCAGAATACACAAAATGCAAGTTCCTGAAACTATACTTTGTGTTGTTATACATGAAGTGGTAGACACTACGGTTCATATGACCTCTTACGATTAAGAGAAATCATTGGAAGTAAAGGAAGCATCAACTGAAATATTACGGCAAGAACAGACAAATGACAATAGGGGGTATTGTGTCAAGCAACAACTGCAACTGGAAAAACAATAGGAGAAATTGTCTGTCTGTCCTCTGTTTCATGTTTCAAGAAACTGATGGATTAAACTAAATGAAATTTATTTGCTCCATTGCAGCATGCAAGTCACAATTCGTATCTAGTTTCTATGCAAATGTGGAACGAAAGAAAGTTCAGAATTCACAAAATGCAAGTTCCCGAAACTATACTTTGATATACATGAAGTGGCAGACACTACAATTCATATATGACTTGTGTCTTAGGGCGTGAACAGACAAATGACAGCTTGAAAATGATCTTTTACAAGCTGAAACCGTCAGCAGAGAGGAAGACTAAGACTTATTCCGAAAGGACTTACCGATTATATCTTTTACAAGCCGAAAGATGATGATCGTACCTGCACTACATATGCTCGTGAAAGTTCAGTGCCTCGCAAGGCGAACTCAGTTCCTCGCCCTCTGCCACAGCAAAATATGACTTCCTCCCAACCAGTTCAACGGCTCTCTTTACGCATCCAGAATCACGAGGGCTCTCGGTGTTGCATCTCAAAGTTTTGATCTTTGGTAGTGTCTCAGCGATCTTCATGACGGATGGAGGGGATTCTTGAACCAATGATGGGCAGCTCACCTCTGCATCCAAATTATCCGGGATCTTTGAATCCATCATCACTTGATCCTCTGATAGATCTGATCCTTGGCTTCTCTTACAGTCCAGTGCAGGCCCAGACGATCTTCTCCGCGGACCTCTAGTCTTCTCCTTGCCTAATTCAGGCAATGACCACTTGCGGCGCTTGCATCCGGGCTCATCACCGACGGTCCGAGTGCTCGCCAAACTATAACGGCTGGGGACAACTCTCACTTTAGCAGTCTTTGATGGCCTTTTACAAGAACTTGTGCTGCTGTTCTCCTGGAAGAGCGCTTTGGGTCTCACACCGCCCAAAGTCTGGTCCTCCTTTGCTGGCTTCTTAGCTGCCGTGGTTGATGGCTGTCGAGATTTAGGGCTCATGCTCGAACCGTGTCTCGGTAGCTTATCCGTCTTCGTGGTTTTCTCCCCGTCTTGGTGGGGATTGTTCGGCCTACAAGAGCGGGCGTTGCTGGCTATCTCGGCAGGCCCAAGACTGACACTCCTCTGCCGGAGCCTGACGGTGGCTGGAGTCCCTGCCGCCTTCTTCGCATCGGATGCCGTCTTTTTGGCTGCTGTGGCCGGTGGCCGAGGTTTAGGGGTCAAGCTCTTCCCCCTTTCTTTTGTCGCCCCTTTCACTTCTTTGCTGTCTTGGAGCTTCTGAGAGCTCGGCTTCTTGCAACTCTGAACCGATCTAAGAGGGGTTCCACTAGCCTTATGCGGTTGATCCAGTGTGAAACTCTCGTGGATCTCCAATGGTCCGAGACTGAGGCCTCGACGATCGACCTTCGCACTTGGCGCCGGAGACTCTTGGGTCTTCTTCTTCAAGGCCGAGGGCCAGAGATTCTTCGCCGCGGTCCGTTTCGGGTCGAGAGACTTCGCGGGGGTGGCCAGGATCTCCAACGGTCCCAGGCTCAACCCTCTGCGACGAAGCCCGGCGCTCGCCACCGGAGACGGCTCCATTCTCTTCGACGCGGGCATGGGCGGAGTTCCCTGTTTCAGGTCCATGAACTTAGCGGGCACGATCCTCCCGCGCATCCGCCCGACGGCCTCGGCCGCCGTCGAGCTATTCTCCGCCTTCTTGACACGAAGCGCCTCCAGCCTCGACTGCAGCCCCGCGATCTCCCCCTCGATCTTCTCGATCTCTTCGTCGATGCTCTTGTCGTCCTCCCTGAATGCCACTCTCGCCGCCGGCTTCTTGTGCGCCGCGAGAGGCTTGGCGGAGTCCGGGCTCCGGTTCTCCTTGGAGGGATCGAGGTCGAGCGATGATCCGCAGGGATTGGTGGAGACCGATCGGACAGGAGGAGGATGGGACGACGTCGCCTTCGACGCAGAGCCATCGTCGAAGGCGGCGTTGTTCCAGATCTGGAGGTTCGGGGAGGCCACGGAGTCTGAAAGCGTGGGGAGACCCATCTTACTGAGGAAGAGGAAGAGGAGATCGCTTCTTCCCTGTTCACGATCAAGCGAAGCCAAAGGGGGGAAGAGGAGAAGGAGAAGAAAGATGGCGAGTTGGTTGGAGATGGGAATTGGAATTGGGGGTTTAAGAGAGGGAGGTTTTCGACCGTTGGGGAGAGGGCAAGAGAGACGTTGGGAGGTTTGGTGGAATGGTGACCATCGGATGACGAACGGCCCCACTGACGACGCTCCGATGTGATTTAACGATATAATAATGCGCATAATATTAATAATATGGGAAGCCGTCGTACGTAAACCGAAATCAAAGTGTTACGACCGGTTCGATTTGGTCCGGTTTAATGAAACGGCTTGTGTTGGAGGTCTGGAGCACGTGCCCGTGAGTCCTCATGCACGTGCGTACAGATTTGCTAGCTCCGATGAAAGGCTCCCAGCGGGGCCCAAACTAAGAGTGTTTGCAGCGCAAGACAGCCAACTGTCACCCAAATGGAGCGCAGCAATCATAGCGATATGAACCGACCATCAGATCCAGATCGAATCGGATCATCGGACCGGAAAAATTATAAACCGGACGACAAATCGATCCGAATCAAACATTGACTCTGTGTTAATTGCAGACTGATTGGGTTCTACATTTTGATTCCTGATTATTTATGGATGATGGCCACATTGGATAGAAATATAATATCATACATACAGATGAATTATACAAGAATAGGATGAAAATAAAAAGGACAAAATCAAAATTATTTATACAAAAAAGAGCACAGACTGATATAGAACCATACAAGAAAGTAATTATTTACTGCATGCAAATATTGGACATTTCAAATATGAGCTTTCAACTAAACCAAACTTGTTCAAAGAACAAACATATATAAATGAAGCACAGGAACACAGACTCAATACATCAACCATAAGTAGCTGATACTACTAGTGCTATACACAACATGAAGCGACTGAGAACAACTAGAACATGGAGCAGTTTTATGCTGGAACAACATGAAGACAGAGTAGCAACTGAAACATCACCACCACTTTTTCCATCTACTACTTTCAACACTTGGAAGTTAACAAGCAGCAACATTGACTAGAAGGAACTGGTCCCTTGCCATGACAAGATCCACATTAATGATGCCAAACATAATTTCAAGTCACGGCAATATCGGGAATCTAGATGCAGATAACAGCAAGCTCTTGGGCCTTTTCCGCTGAAAACATTTTTATTTCTCGACAAACAGAACGCCACTATATACAAAGACATAATCCTAATCCAAGCACAATACTACCATAATCTCTGCCACTTGAACTTTTAGATAAACTCCCTCATGGTCCTGAAAATTACAGGCAGCCCCATGACATGCTATTTCTTCTTACACAAATATATCATACAATTCGAATAGAAAAAGATACCATAATTATGGAGATACTAAAAGCAACCACACTTTACACTGAATCCACCCCTTCAACCTGCTGCCGTGCAAGATACCTTTCCCTTCTTTCCTTCTGAAAATTTAAAAGAAAAGGACGTCAGAAGGAAAACATTCTTACACGAGAAGAAAAATGCATCAGAAACCAAATACCGGGAAAACTAAGTATACCCATTCATCTATAACCAGTCCTTCTCCAACAATACGAGGACCCGTGTCTTCTGGAGGCTTCTTACGTGCCTCAACTGCCGCCTCAGCTTCGGCGAGCTGCCTCTTCAACTTCTCCATTTGCTTCAAAAAAAATATCACGATGCACATGTAGTTTACTACTCACGAGTAAATGTAATCATTGTAAATGAGAGGTATGAAAAATGTCTGTCACTTCCACTTACAGAGCAAGGTCGATCAGGGTCCAAGAAAACTACCCGCAGAATTTGCTCTACTGAAACATGATCCTTCTGTTCATCAAACTGTTCAATAAATATGTCTCAGTGATTAATTCAGATGTCATTTTGACCAAAAAAATGTTGTACTCTTAAAGTGGATGTAGTTTCATATTAAATAAACAAACAAAGAAGCAAGCAAAGATGCTTATTACATGTTTATCAATCGCAGAAGGCACCATTAAACATGTCCTAGAGCATAATACTTCTAGAATACTCAACATTGTTTGAATTTTTTGGAAAATTCTTGAACAAATCATGATCTTTCGGATGAGTAATTTAGTACCGTGTTTTAATCATATATGTGTAAGTAAACATGACCTTATAATAATTGTTCTACACTGCATTTTCATTAATTTATTTTTCCAGTTACCTCTTTTTTCAAATTCTAAATAAGTCAATCTTGCCAGACTCCAAATGCTGAAGTTGTAACAATGCATGTCAAAGTAGATGGCTACAAAGGACACGCACCAATGGAGATTACTAGACAATTAAAATAGTGAATACATTTGTAAAGATAGCAACTTAGATCTCTCAATGTCATAGAATCATATACTTATTATAAAATTTCTGGACTGCTTTTTTACTTAAATGCAAATATGACTGCAAATTTGAGGCCACACCAATCAATCTGTGTTTGTAGACTTTAAATGGATCGAGCTGTATGCAGTTGAAATTAGCTGAATTATTCTATTTAAGTTGGTTCAAATCAAGTATTTCAAACATGCTTTGGAAAAAAGGAAGAAACAATTCCAATCAGGTTGGAAGAAAGGAATGGACAGACTTACTAGCTCTGGTACATATTCCACAGGCCCATTCACCTTCAGACTAACGATCTTAAACTTAACGTTGCTCTTTTGATCCAGTGGCCTCTCATTATTCTCTGGCTGCTCGACAAACTTGAAAACTGCCACCCAAATTTGGAAGTTTATGAGAGTAATAACTTTATGCAGCATGAGCCAATTATTTCATACTCTATCAAAATTCAGTCAAATCCGGCATGAGGGAAAAAAGGTTTACCAGTTGCAATGATACTCTCCCCTGGGGAAAGAATCCCTCCAGGAGGACGCATGAAACAGCTCTTTGGTGCAGTTGTTTGAAACTAAAGCCACCGTGATAATCAAAATTTACCCACGAAAATAAAATGTTAATAAGAATACAGAAAAAAGAAAAAACAACACCATTACAACTTCAGCTGATAATTCGAACAGAAACATGATACTAAATGATCAAAAGACATTGTGCTGATCGCTGTCTATTATTAGTAAGAAGTCAAAAAATGAGTAAAGACTAACATAAGACGGAACATAAAACACACCTTAAATGCCACATGTGATTTGCTGGTGTTCTTTATCCTGACTGCACTTCGAACCTGTTTTCCAGGTTCATCTTCAACAAAAATAAAAAGAAAACCATAAAAATCATATGGTTAATTCCAGAATACCTTGATATTTGTCACAAAGAAAAACTGCTTCTCGAAAAATCTCCAAGTAGTAGCAGAAACTAACTTGAATCTCACAAGATTTTAGCAAATTTGGTGGCCAGATTAATAGATCATTCAGAAGAGTTTGCTCTATTGGACAGATTTCAAAATCAATTAACACTTGTTTAAAAACACGACATAAACAAGAAGAAAAAGCTGCATAGACTAATCCAAAGTGATGAAAATGTTGATAGTGGTTAAGTATACTAGCAATCCTCTAATTGAAGACACTAAAGAACCTTCTATCAAGCATACAGTCTCTGGAGAGAGAAAGTTGAACATCAGAAATTAGACCTAAAAATCTGAATCATTACAGAAACAACCAAAACTAAAGAAAATAGGGTAAGAAGATTTAATCTGAAAACAGGTTACCCTGATATCAAGAAGCTGTTATGTATCCTACTGAATATGAGAAGTTCATTGATGCAAACGACGAGAACATGACATAAATTTCTTAACTAGCAAAATGTTATTGAAATAAAAAAATTGATACCGTAGATTTGCTGGTAACTATGTCATGAACTGAAGATAATAATCCATCAACAATAGCAAAGATATTTCTAGAACATACTAAAATTCACAGAAGGACACCCAAAATTAATGTAGATTAAATTACATCTAATAACTCGCATCAAATCATCCTCAGAGTTGTTTTTGGAGGGTGGATGGGAAAGGTAAAGGCAAGCAGCACCGAGTACAGTCTACTAGAAGTTGAAGTTAATCATCCAATTTAACACCCTTTTTGCCCCAATTCAAACAGTCGTCAGCGAACGAAGTTCCTTTTACGAGAAAGTAGGGCACGAATCAAAAGAAGAAACTTAACCCCTACGCACCCCCAAAAGGCTTTTGAGTCCCGCTAAAGAGAAAAAAGATGACTCCTTTCACAAAGTACAACCAAAATCCAAACGGGAGAACGAAAGATCTGACCTTTAAGGACTCGGAATGAACCATCGGGACAAGAACTCACAAGGGAAGTAGAGCTTGGAGGTCGGATCCAGCCGTAAGCGGCGCCTGGTTGGCAGCAACGACCAGGCCACCGAGGAGATCGAGCTCGCACCGGGGTTGCTCCTCGCCGCCGGCGCCGCAGCGGCTCCTCGATACACCTGCCCCATCTGGCTCCGCCCCGACGAGCGGGAGTGGCGGTGGTGCGTCAAGCTAAGCGTCGACGATGAGTTCGAGGAGGACGAGCCAGCACCACCTCCGCCTCCTCCCCCACCGCCAAAGAAGCGCAGCCGGAAGATTCCCCACCCCTTCCCATCCGCCTTGCCGTCGGCGATCGCCATCGCGAGCTCTTCCCAAAGCGCCGACGCAACTGGCCTCACTTCATGGAGCAGCGACTCCTGGGTCAACGACGAAGGTCCAGGATGAGGGAAGAGGTGTGGCGTCACCGGGAGGTACGCTTAACAAGCGACCACTCCGGCTAGGCTAAAGCCTCTGCTTTGCAAACCGCGTGGGGCTTCTTTTGAGCTGTGAGCCGTAGGCGTCCAGAGAGAGAGAGAGAGAGAGAGAGAGAGAAGGTGGGATAGGGAAGAAGGATGGAATTAAAGTGCATTTAAGAAAGGAGGGTGGGTTGGATGGTGGCTTCGTTGGAATGGTTTTGGATTCTCTCTCTCTCTCTCTCTCTCTCTCATCCGTTCACTCCCAATTAAGTTTGCCACTCATCTTTCTTTTTTCTTTTTTCTTAATATTTATTTAGTTAGGCAAATATATATATATATATATATATATATATATATATCTTCAAAATTGATATTTTTCATATTTTTCAGTCTATATTTATATATCTTCCTTGCAAAACCTAAAGAAATTCATGTATAATTAATCTTTGTTCACCATGTCACCTTTAATATAAGTCCTAGTTATTTTAGTACCCGGTAAATATATTATGATTGTAGGATATACTAAATAATTATAATTAATGGTGGTTGATGAAGGATGTGAAGGAGAGGAATTTATTTTTGAAGACCTTCATTTACTTTTTGGAGGGACATAAGATTTATAATAAATTTTGTAGGGATAAATATATTATTTTCAATTACATTTGGCTCAAGAATTGATGGGTTTGGTTTTGAGTTCCTTCACCGACGGTGACCGGACTCCAGTGATAGGCATCCCAACTCTAGTGGATAGTCATCGGCCTAAATAATAATAAGAATAATAATAATAATAATAAATATAAAACCGTTGACTTTGGGAAGTGATAAGATCGCGTTTACCCGATGGTGGAGGTAAAACGCCTGTCGTCGACAAAAGTCAACCTGAGTGGTCCAACCGCGAGGTATGGGGTTTGCCACCCAAAAGCATTACTCGTATTACTTGTATTTTACTGGCACGTCAGTATTAATTCTTATAATATAAGCATAAAAAGTGAGAAATTAAGAAACAATTTCTAATCTTGTTTCCAATTTCATCATATCATCTGATGATTAAGATTCATAATCAAACATTTCCAAGTTAGGAGAGCACTGCCAAACAATGCAAAGTACAATAACGTCAGATTCCCATCATATTGATGTCACATTTGACGAACCTTACTTCATTTTCACATGGATTTTATATATAGATTTATAGAGTTGGACATTTACTAAAGAATAGAGAGAACAGTTTTCAGCTTCTAGAGTTCATCATTCCACCAGTAATGGTTAAAAAAATTGCAGATTATCAATGAAAATGATCTGAAATATCACAAAAAGAAAATGATCTAAGGCAACAGTTCTTTTTTTCTTCTCCTTCTGAATTCATTAATCTTCACATCAGAATAAAACATGACAGATTAAGAGTAAGAAAGATAATAAGAGACTTGGTTTTTAACTAAGTGAGATGTGAATTTTCCTTATGGGTAAAAGAGAGAGTCTTCCAACCATACACAGATCATTCTCCAGCAGAAGGAATGAAGCAACTCATTCATTCATTCATGGAAAAGAAGTCCAAGTTTCTGTCAGCAATATCATTCTCATTTGTAAGCCGGATAGTGAAATCAAAGAAAACAGGGTATTCTTAGAGAGCGATGGCTGCTTCAAGACAAATTGGTCGGTTTGGATTTGTCACACAAGCATCTGAAAGAGCAGTTGCAATCATCAGTAGTTTAGGCTGGTAGAGAAGATAAGATGGGCCTTTTCTTCAAAGATTAGATACAAGGAAAAGAGAGCTTCCTGTGTCTGGAAATTGTCATTCAGTAACCAATGTGAAGATATCCCCCATAAAGTGTTTGACCAATAAGCTTATGGGGAATTGGTCTAGTGCTGGACTGTTCAAGGATGTAGAGAGTGCTCCAACTTGTCACTGATGACGAAACTAAACTTGCTTGTTGATCTCAGAGTTCATATCTGATATCTTCAAGGAAAAAATCATTCTTCAAATAGAGAAAAGAACATTGTTTTCTAGATCTGCAAGAAATCTCTATTTGTAACAGGCATTTCTTTCTTCTCAGCGTGTAGGCAGGCTCATGTCCCTTGTCTTGGATTATATAATATCATCACTCTCCCTTCACATACACAAACACATGGAAAATTTCATGACTCTACTTAAAGGATATTGCAGGAAGGAGAAATTAAGCTCTGATTTCAAGAGTTCTTCTCACTGGCCAATGTTGAGAGAATCATGGGCTTCGCATTGTTTATCTCCTTTGAATTTGTGAGACTGTTAGAGCTGTGGTTGCTATCTTATTGTTGGCACAAAATTTGGGTTATCTGACTCTTTTTTGGAAGTAGAAGTAGCAATGATCCTCTACCTAGGTTGAATTACTCATGTCAGATACCTGAAACAACTCAAAGTTTCAGTCATGGAACCTCTCCAAGATGAAGAGGGACAGTAACCACTGGCCAAGCCAACTTCTGTAACTTGTTATTCTAACAAGGACCAGCATATTAGAGCTGTTTCTTCACTGATGAAGCAGCACCTGCAGCATCCTTTGCAGTACTTGTCTGCATGTGTATTCCCTGATAGCACGCAGCTGCTCACTGTGGAGATGTTCATAGCTGATAAATCTTACTGAAACTTGTTATACTTGTTATGGTGGAAATCAAGGAAGAACTCCTGATGCATCATACTGTTTTGATAGAAATGAATCCAACAACATGTATGATCTGTGATATAACTGCTGAAATCCAGTGAACCAGAAGAAAAATAGCACTTCAGTGATTAAGTTCTGCAATCCCCTGAGATCTGCCGAGTTCAAACCTAGAGAGGATCGATCTATAAGGTGTCTACCATGACTAGTCTTTTGAGTTAGCTCATCATAACACACTGTAGTTAGCTAGCTGCACACTGCAATCTAATCTTCTCGATCCTCGTGTCGATTTGCGTCTCCAAAATGATGGGATTTTGGGAATCATTAGTCCTAAGAACAGAATTCAAGGATGTAAATGATGAGACTTTGATCACTACAAGGTGCTGAACTCACTTGGATCGGAGGAAGACAGGAGGCGCACTCATGAGACCGATGGCTCGGCGGTGCTGGGGCGGAGAAGGGCAAGTCTCTTGCGGTCATTGGAGGACCGGGAGGCGGAACCGAAGGAGGTGGCCTCGTCGTTTGCCGCCGCGGGGGTCAATGCGCGATAGGTCGCCTCCTGTCATCCATTCGTGCATTATTCTTCCCTTTTGTGCAAATGATGTGACATGATGGAAGATTCGGGATGGGTGACTCGATATCAGCAGCAGATTTAGGGTTCAGATTCATATTTGCTCTTTAAAAGCGGAAATTTTATGGGAAGATTGCAGTTTTTGGCAATCAAAATTCAAAAACCTTGCTCTTTTTTCGTAGGTTTGAAGCTAGAAGACACAATTTAATCGAGAGAATTAGTATCTTTCTTCAAGGCTATCGATTAAGATGGGGAAAGGATCAAACTTTTGTCTGAATTGAAGGCCAAATAGTGGACGAAATTAGACATGATGCAGATCACAGATTTAGATATTGAGGAATGGATGTTCTTGAATCATGTTGTCTAAATCGCAGAGAGAGGTGGAAGACGACTGATTTACCTGTGAGACGCCGAGATCGACATTCTCCCGCATCCGCTTCAAGAAGCCACCGCCATTCCCCATCCGACCCGACTCCTCGCCGCTCGACGAGCTGGCCACAGGGGGCGGCGTCATCGACCACGGCACCACCTGGTTCTCCCCCTCGTCGTCGTCGTCGTCCCCCTCGTCCTCGTCCGCGTCCGCATCCTCCTCTCCCTCGTCTCCATCGTCCTCTTCGTCATCGTCCTCAACCACCTCCCGTTCTTCCCCTTTCCCCTCTCCCCCCTCGTCGTCAACGCCGGATCCTTTCCCCTGGCCTCCGTCGCCGTCCTCCGCGCCATCGGCAGCGGCACACCGCTCGCAGACGGTGACGGTGGGGCCCAGCCTGGCACCTTCCGCCCGCCATGGCGTGGGCGACTGGCAGCTCCGGCAGAGGAGGCATCTGGTGTGGCGTGCCACCAGGAAATTGGCGCCGTGTACCCTGGCATCGCACTCCCAGCACAGGCTCGCCTGGTCCGACTCACACAGCATCCTCGCCGGCCGATCGCACAGCTCGCACTGCTTCACCCCCATCCCTCCCCTTCTCGATAGATCTCCTCTCGGTCCCACCTGCGCCTTCAATTCGTTTCTCCTCTTCCTCGGTTCTTTCTCCTCCGCTTCCTTCTGCCGGTCTTATTATTTCAGTGAGTCAAAAAAGAACCGAAATTACTGATAAAGACTTCACGTGTCACTTTATTTGATCGCCTTGGAGATCCGCTCACCGGTAGACTTACTTGCGGCCGCTCTCGACACCCCTACCACTATAAATTAGATTTTGGAACTCGATTCATCGCCATGGCAGGCGGTGACCTGATTCACAATGGAACACGCACCGGGGTAACTTCGTCATTTAAACTCCACGGGGAACCGATCACGGCCGTCATCCTTCGGTTATTACTCCACGCACGAATCAGGGCGCATCAGCGTGGCGCCCGCCGTCGCCCCTGCCCACGTGATTCAGGACCGCGCCTCCTATACCTGACCGTCCCTTGGGTCCTTTGTTCGCTGCTCCACGTGGAGACATCTGAGTCACCATGCGAGGTCCGCTCCTGTTCAGACTTGGGGGATCAGGTGCGCTCCGCCGACGCGCGCGCTTACCGCTTACCGCTTACCGCCATCTCCAAAGCCGCCTGTTTCAGCCCACAGAATTGCCTTTTGTTCAAAGCCGGTGGTATCCCACAGAAACGGACGGCGGATATTTGCCGAGGCACGGACGCCTATCTCCAGCCACGAATCGAAGATGCGATCCTCCGAAGATCCGATCCTGTCACACGTGTCGGTCCGCCCTCCTCGGTTCCCTCCGCCGTCCGATCGTAATCGGAGGGCGCGTGGGGAAAGATGTGGCGTCGGAAGTACGGCGACGATGGCGATGGCGACGGCGACGGCGATGAGCTCTTGTTGTGACACGAAAGCATGGGCGTGCGGAGTGAGTACAAAGAGATGAATGGGACGGACGGAGGGCTGAGGAGGAGGGTGAAGGCACGGCTTTGAACCTGGACTGGGAAGAATACCTGGCTGTGGATGGCTCAGAATAAAGATGACGGCGACGGCGCTGAGGAGGTATGTCTTCCGCCGGGGTGTTCCATCTGCATCAGTACCTGCCTCACCCTAATCTCATCATAAATCACGTGGTCTTCATCAGGGAAGAGAAAAGAAGGAGCATTTTTAGTTTGTGTTGTGTGTGGTTGTCTGCGATTTCAGAGAACGTCTCTCCGTGACTGTGCGATGGTCTTCGATAGGCATTATTACAGGTCGATGTTGACTTCTTCAAAACCTTGGTTGAGATTCACCTGAAGAATGAATCCGGTGGCATGGAATTGATTCCTTTGTGAGCCATGAACATATATTGGCAAGGAGAAAAGCCCACGGAATCGATCCACATGGATGGGAATGCTCAATAGCAGCAAGTTGAACATTTCACGAATGGCTAAGCAGGATCTGACTCTATCTAGTTCTATCCATTTGCTCGTATGACGAACAACATTGCATTGATTGCAGAGTAATTCTAGCAAGAAACAAACAACTTGTTATCATGTATGATTGGTGCAGATGGAGTGTGGAGAACTTGTCTGTTGCAACTCCTAAGTGGATGAGGAGGATGAAGACGCTTCAGGTTCATGTTACCTCCTCGAGGTAGGAGAGACACCAGGCTGTTGCTGCAACATCCCTAGCAGAGTGCCATACACCCAAAGATCTCCTTCTTCTTTTGGCACACATCCTATTCCGGGCAGTGTTTGGGGCGGGGTTGTTCCACACGATTTTGTTTGATTCCTTGGTTGCATGGAAATTGCCAGAACCATGAAGTTGACTTGAATTTTCTTCGTCCACGACACGCGCAAATTAATGTCATGGAGGTCAAAGTCTCTACTCTTCTACCTCTCGACGTTATCATTCATTCAGGCTCTTTCTTCGTTACTCACAAACAGATCTCATCTCATTGGGAGACAGTGACGGATGCAGCATTGTCAATATCGTAGTCTACAAGTTTGAAGCTGCTGATGGGTCATCAAATGCCTTTCTTATGCCAAAGTCATTCCGTTCATGGCAGTATTTTACAGCCATCCATATTGACTGCAAACAGAGAAAGACTGTAATTGTTCGAGTGTTTATAAGGGTCGTCTTGGTTGGAGGAGGACAAATCGAGTGAGAGGGATATCTTCTTCAGCCTCTGCTAGGAATTCAACGAGATGTCCCTCTGCACATACTTGTTGATCAAGTTCTTGAAGAAACGAATAGGTAACTCCATCTACACTGCCACTTTGCAAGGTCACGCAAGAGGCCTTTCCTTGTTGATATCAGACTGATTTGTTCTGTGACAGCAAGAAGAAGAGCTGAAGAAGCAAGCATCGATGGTGTGCCAACACCACTAGATCTTCCTTCACCTTCGGTTTCGCTTGAGAACGAGATAGTGTCTGGAGAAGGACTAGTCTCCGCTTTATATGATCTGAACACAATTTTGGCAGCAACAGGGATCTTCAGCAATGAAAACAAACTCGGAGAAGGAGGGTACGGTCCAGTCTACAAGGTAATTCCTCTTCTCTCGATGATAACTCGATTTGAGCTTGATCATGACACAAGGGGTGCCATGGCTGACCAGGGGAAGCTCCACGATGGCCAAGAGATAGCAGTGAAGAGGCTGTCCAAGAAGTCTGGGCAGGGCTCGAGGGAGTTCAAGAATGAGGTGGAGCTGATATCAAAACTCCAACACAGGAACTTGGTTAGGCTTTTGGGTTGCTGCGTTCATGGAGATGAAAAGCTTCTCATCTACGAGTTCATGCCCAACAAGAGCTTGGATGCCTTCCTCTTCGGTCAGTTGATTTGTCGAGGGGCAACACATAATACTACCTCAATTTGATGACTAGAAATGCTTGATCGATGAGCATTTGCATCCGTAGGAAACTAATCTTTAGATACTGATCGACATGTTACGTAGATGCATCCAAGAGCAGGCTTTTAGACTGGACCAAGCGTTTCAATATCATCGAAGGGATTGCCCGAGGATTGCTCTACCTGCACCGAGATTGTAGATTGAAGATTATGCATCGAGACCTGAAAGCAAGCAACGTTCTGCTGGACCAGAATTTTAACCCCAAGATATCAGATTTCGGCATGGCACGCATACTCCATGATGACCAGATTCTAGCAAGAACTGATAGAGTAGTTGGAACAATGTAAGTCTGCAAAACCATTCTTGATTACAACCATGTGAAGCAAAGAACACCAATTGATCGTGTGCCGAAAACAGTTTAATTGTCATGATTGAAACTGATGTTACGATCCAAAATACTTATGCCTAGATCAAGCCTCTATAAATCAGTTTAAGTAAGATTAGCCTAGTATGTCTCTATGTGACTCTAGTTCCATTGATGCCTATTCCGGCTCGATATTATGTCGGTTCTAATATGCCCAAAATTCTTAATTCCAATCTATCACATCTCCGACTTGAGTTCTTGACTAAAGGGGTGTTACATGAATGCAGTGGCTACATGTCCCCGGAGTATGCAATGGAAGGGCAAATTTCCGAGAAATCTGATGTTTTCAGTTTTGGTGTCCTGCTTTTGGAGGTGGTCAGTGGCAAGAGGAACAACTACTTCCTTGATGAAGATCTAGCTCTGAACCTTCTAGGCTATGTAAGTACATATGCAATTCTTCTCTTCATCTAGTTTTACTTGTTGATCATTGAAATTTATGTGATCGAACTGCACCCGAGAGTGCAGGCTTGGACATTATGGAAGGAGAACAGAGTGGTGGAGTTGATAGATCCATCATTAGGAGACTCATGGAGCCAAGAGGAAGTGATGAGATGCATCAAACTGGGACTTCTATGTGTGCAAGAACTACCAGTAGATAGGCCAACCATGTCAGTCGTTGTCGCAGTGCTCAATGGTGACATTAATCTTCCCGAGCCGAAGCAGGTTGCATTCTTTGCAGGGAGAAGCCCCACGACGTCCATTTCATCCATGGATGACAGCAAGCGGATATCCTCTCAGGGTGATCTTTCGATCGTCCAGTTGTGAGCTGTTCTTGTGATGCTGGGAAGATGCAGCTGCTCAGTGTTGCATTGTAATCCAATTATATCGCCATTAAGATGTTTGCTGTCACATAGAAGTAGAGGTGTTGCCATATGATGAATGAAGTGGAGGGTGTAAAATCCAAAAACATGTTGAGCCTCAAGATTAATACATGAGTTTTCTTGTTCTACTGTGGTTTTTTTTTTTTTTTGAAGGAAAAAGATTAGATCAAATCATCAAATATTCGAATAGGACGTATGAAGGAGAATTGCCTCTTCCAAAAATACTAGCAAGTTATTGTCTTACGAAGATTGTTGACATGGATGAAGATTCAATCGATAACAAGTTATGTTTTTGAGGATCCAAGGGATGTAACATTTCATTAAGATTGACTTATAGAGATATGATGAAGGAGCAATCTAACTATCTCGATTACCTGCTTATATAGATTTAAGCATCGGAGTGGAGACTGTGAGAAGAAGAACATGGCTGGCTCGAAAGGATTTGTGGAAGCTGGGGAGTGTGATCAAGGTTTGGAACTTCCATTGATGAAGTCTGAGGACATACTGTTTGCCACCAACAGCTTCTCTGATTCAAATAAGCTTGGAAAAGGAGGGCTCGGCATAGATTACAAGGTGAAGCATGAGACCTGAATCCATAGAAATATCTTAAACATCAAACTTGATTTGCATGTTTCGATTGTTTAATATGAATCACACGCAAATGGGAACAGTTGTTTTCACCCTATCAAAAACAAACACATGCATGAAGATCATGATTGGTATCTAATCATTATTTGTGTCTGTTCATTGTCCTGTTTCTGATTAGCTTTCGTGCTCGCCTTTGTATGATCTAATGTAACACCCTGATCAGTTCATGAAAGAAACTGTTCATCAGATGTGTTGCATGTTACTAAGACAGCATCATGTTCTCAGGGTAAGCTTCCTGGGGTACAAGAAATTGCTGTCGAAAGACTTGTTAGTGGAAGATCCAGGCAAGGTGTAGTAATGGAGTTCAAGACAGGTCGTTCTGATCGCCAAGCTACAGCACAGGAACTTGGTTGCTGCATCCATGGCGAAGAGAAGCTCCTTGTCTATGAGTACATGCCCAACAAAAGCTTGGACTTCTTCCTCTTTGGTCTGTTCCTTAAGATGGCTCACTCTCTCGATCATTCTTGACAGATCCAACACAGAAGACAAAGCTTGACTGGGGCAGGCGATTCAGCATAATCAAGGGGATTGCTCGAGCACTTCTCTACCTTCACCGGGATTCAAGGCTCAGGATAATTCACCGAGATCTTAAGGAGCTTCTTTTACCGTATAAATAAATGTCAATTTCCGATTCCATTATCATATGAACATCAACATGAGGAGGAAGAGGAAGAGGGAAACAAATCGAATAGTGAGAACTAGCTCATGAATCAAGCGGCGAAGGCATGGTGGTCCATCAGGTCGGGGCTGAGGCGGACCATGAGGACGCAGAACTCCCACTGGCTGAGCGCGCCATCGCCGTCGGAGTCGCCCTCGCGCAGCATGGCGCGGAGGTCGTCGTCCCCCAGGGCGCCCAGGCCCAGCAGCGCGGCGTTGCGCTTGAGGCTGTCGAAGGTGATGAGCCCCCGGCGAGGGTCCATGAGTAGGCGAAAGCCGTTGGAGAGCTCCTCCATGAGGCCTTCCTCGCCCAGCTTCTCCACCATGAGGGGGAGGAAGTCCTCGAACTCCACTGGTTGCCGCCGCGCCGCCATGGGAGATGGATTCAATCGATCGATCGAAAGCACACCGAAGGGCAGAGAAGAAGAGGAAGACGAGGTGGGGGTCGATGGCGTATGGAGATTTGGTGGGGGTGGGAGCATTAAATATAGGAGCTTAGTTATGGATTGGATACCTTCGAGGAAGCTGAGGCCACCGAGAGCGGATGACAGCCGAGTTCAGACACGGAATGAGCTGGGATAAGACAGAGATAGACGAAGACGGGGCGATGGGGGAGGAGAGCGATGGCGTGATGCCGATGCCGTCGGATTGGCCAATCCATTTCGTGAGATGACGACGCGTGTCCGATCTCCCCAAAAAAGAAAGAAAAATGCGGGTGCGGAAGTGGGTGCACGTCCTCCGATCGCACCGACCTACCAACCCGGGCGTGTCTCCACCTTGTGCGCCAAGCAACTGTAAGAATCTGGTTGGGCCCACCAAAGGGTCCCAGTTATCCGTGACGTGAGTCATGACGCATGAGTCGATGTGGAACGGACGCTTTGGTGGTATCTGAAACCATACGCTTTCTTTGGCTGGAAGAACAAAGGATGGAACAGGTCAACGTCAACCCTGACAAATGTCCACTCCGGTCAAAAAGGGCCAAAGGAAAATACTCTGATGATTCTGCTGGAAACACAATAGGGATCAAATTTGTATATTATTTGTTTCCCCTTCCTTTTTACTTTCTTTTCATATTATTTTCCACTGAGCTACTTTTATTTTATGTTTTTAGATGTGATAATATATATTTTGGATTCAAGATACGTCACAATCGACGTCACGCCGCACTACAAGCAGGGGGAGCACTCCCAGACACTAAGTTAGAATCCATACCGAGACACTGTTTGATATGTCCCGAGCCACGAGTGTCTCGACCTAGAAATCGTCATCCAGTGAACGAAGGTGAACTGTCAACCAGCCCGAGAACGAAGAGACGATACTTGACGTAGACGGAGCGCGACCGAGAAACGTTGATCAACACCCCGTTGCGAGGGCTCAATCTACCTCGGCGTCCAATTTCATCGAGAAGACTCCCGACATCAATCCGTGGATCGAGCCATGTTGACTCACCAGCCACGACACATTTGTTCACCAACAACATATTTTAATAGGAACATAAAATTAGACTGTTGTTTCGACAGTTTCTTCTCGGTTAAGCCGATCCAAGTAAGTAGGTTTCGGATCGATGCCTTAATGCACAAGCTTTTGACTAGGTAAGCAGTGGTGACAGAGTCAAAAGCCAGCGTGAAGCTTCAAAGCTGCCCCCGGCAAAGGGAACGCGATGGGAACGACAAGACTTCCGCATGAAGCTTCATGATAGATGCTGAAGAATTGATGCACACCGGAGAGAACAGTCATTCGGATCTCCAAAATAATGCTGGTTTTGGAGCGGGGTTGACTTTGGCGGTCAACTTAGTTCGAAGTCAAAGAATGAATGAAGTGGGAGTTAACCAAGAAGATGTCAGAGACACGGACACAGATAAGTTGATGAGAAATGAAATCTTGTTTTCCCAGGCCGTGTTTTGAATCGGTCAAAGCAAAGAATGTTTGCATCAGTTGTTCACCTCTGCTCGTGATAAGATGACGTTTTGAATCGAAATCTCACAGATTGATCATCACATGCATTGAAAAAGACAACAAAAATTGCTTTGACGGACCAAACATTTTGATGGCAATCCAACTGATGCAAACATTTAGATGGCATTCCAATCTACTATTACTATGATTTCCTCCCCAATGGGACTCAACTTAGAGCTCAGTCAATCAGATCCATCATTTCAGTATGGAATTGATTATTCAGAGATCAAAGTGTTTCTTTTTTCTTTATCATGTTCTTCAAAATTCAATTTTCATGTAAATTAAATATTCTACAAAGTAAATTTAGCACCCTTGATCACGGTAAATGAAATTCTAAATCGGTTTTGATACATACAAGTTCACAACAATTGTCTGATAATATATCCTAAAAAGAAAAAAATAAAAATAAAAATCAGTATCATAAGACAGTTTGCGATGCGAGAGAACATGTTAGGTGCCAAATTTTCAAAAATTTCTCTTTTTTCAATTCTCTGATATATTCTTCATAGCCTATTTTACCAATGTAAGTTTTTCGTCGACTTCCTTCTGTAACAACTGAACCTGAAAGAGAGCAAATCAAAAGAAAAAGAAACTAATGAGGAAAAGATGAAACATAATTCTGAAACTTCAGCTAAGCTAAAAGAACAAGAAAAAAGAATCAGACCTGGTCTTCAAGATTAGTCATGTCTTCTTTCATCTTCGATCAACATGTACCATCTATAATTTATGGCTGTCACAGATCGAGTGCAGCTCTGACCTCAGTTCTGCAGCTCAAAATGAAGCTGCTCTATCTGTTGAGCCATCCCTAAAACATAATCTCTGTTTGCTTCCGTCTGTGGATACAAATGCCATGGATGTGGCTGATGGCTATCATATAAAGGATAATTGGGATACGTTAAATCTGCATAAGCATTGCTCGATTGAGGCGGATAAGATGGTGTTATCGAGAAGTAGTCAGCAGTGCTGGGCATTGGTCAAGATCCATTGAGTTGATCACCAAGATAAGAAGAATAAGGGTGCATATGGAGAAGCTCCTCTGAAGGAAGTGGGTTATCCATTGCATCCTCAATTAAGGGTTTCAGGTTCATGATTTCTGCAATGTAATCTATAAAATCCATTCCGATTATGATAGTATACCTGCAACAAAGAAAGTGAATATAATTAGGAAAACCAAACTAGAAGCAGAAGTGACAGTAACTATGGAAGACAGGAACATTGATCCAAGACTCTTGCTTGAATGGTTTATTTAGAGCACTCAATGACTCTGTCACAATCAATCAAATTAATGGTATAAATTTTAGATAGAATTCTGTAATATAATCAACCAAATCAATTCTGTATTTACATTCCAGAACTCTGAAACATTATCAATTAAATTTATGAAGTACTGTTTTCCAAGTCTTTCTTGAATTTTCTGTGATACAGATAACAGATCTGCAAGACCTTAAAATAGAAGTAGAGTTTGTCAAAAATTATCAAGCAACTAGTCATTTGCAACTTTGAGAAGTATCACAATAAAATTCTCATCTGGTAAATAAATTCTACCACGACTAGTTTAGTTTTTCCATATATCATGACATGGCCATAAAAAATTCTGCTAGTCAAGTTGTTTTCATACATAATCTGTACTAATTTTATGTTGTTTGTATTACAACTTCCATATTTCACTAATGGATTTATCTTTCTTCTAAGAATATAACATCCCTTGCTTAACCATAGAGTTCTTTATCAAATTATTTAGGTCTACAAAGCATATATTTGTATTACTTATTGATGAAACAAGGTAGGAAAAAAAAACACTTTCAAGCAACAACTATTTATGCAAGAAAATGATAGTAATTTTATGATTTATGCTCTTCTATCCTTTTTTTTTCCTGTTTTTGTTAACTCTGGTGTTAGTGTATCCTAAACTGTTCACTTGTCTAGTTTGTCTGTCTAATTCTTCATCAGTAACCTCAAGTAGATAATGCAATCATTGAAAGTGATTATACCCTCAGGTCATCCCTTCCTATCGAGAAAATTAATTTGATGAAATCAACAATATAAATTTCCAAAACCAAAAAATACAGTGTATAATATGAAATCCAAAATAAGCAGAGCATAGGATGTTCAGAAACTTACTGATGGAACATACATTCAAACAGAAGTATTCAAGTACCTGAACAATGTCACCCTTTTCAGGATGAGATGCTTCAACTGAGGAACAAGCAGTACTAACTCTTTATTATCTCCATCGCTGAGCACCAGCATTTGGTTTCCCTAATAATCTATGAAGCAATCACAAACTTGAAGAACAGGCAAGGTATGATGCTTCCCATTTAGTATATCCCATAGCACTCCAGAGGAAAGGCCATAATTCTCTGCATCAGGTCTTATTGAACCAGCTAAAAATCCATTATCAAGCTCTTCATGTTCATGTTCATCTACATTACTAGCATTTAGAGAATGTTTCTCTCCTGTGATAAATGACTCAGCCACAACAGTAGTATTAGAGAAGGAATAGATATTTGCACCGCCTGACGGTTCATCTTAAGTTTCTTGAGATGGTTCTATGGATGTAGAATCATCAAGATGACAGCTCAAAGTGCTCGGGAGTGTGAAGTCGGAAAAATAAAAAATTTCATCTAGGATCTCAATATCTTGCGAGATTATAGCCCTACTGTCGATGAAGAAAAGTTTAGAGCATACCGCAACAAATAAAAGTAAAGATTGCAGCAAGAAGAGGATTTAACAAACAATCATTGAAAATTTACACAAAGTAAACCAATCCATACATGTAATTGGCAATAGATAGCATATTAATTCAACATCAAAAGCAACTAAAATTCTGAGAGAAATTAAAAACTTGTCATCGATTACATACATTTTACTACACCAAAAATACTAGAAAACAATACTTCACATCCTTACAGGAACAGATAACTGGACAGTGTTGCTTCCTCAGCAGCACATTGGTGACCATATCAAAGTTACAACATTGTTTCATCTCAAGAACATGTTAGTCTTGATCCTACATCAATGAAATTGCATAGTTCTAACCTAATTCGGTAGGCCCTATCAAAGATGGCCAAAGGGAATCAACCATCGATAATTCATGACCTAATCTACCTCCCATTTCAATCATTTTTTAGAAGATTAAGGAGACTCGAGAAATTAATAGATTGCAATCGAAAAATTGAAGACTCACTGGACCGTCCACTTGAACTCCAGCAGCCGGAAGACGGTGTTCTCTTGCAGCTTCCCAGAGGAGAGCAAATAGTGCACGTCGCGAGACAGAATCACCTCCAAGGAGTTTATTCCATCCCACATTTGGGACCCAACAAAACTCTGAGCTTTAGGCCCCTCATCGGCGCCATGTGCAAAGCCCGGAGGACGAAGGCCTCCTTACTCCGCCATCGCAATCCTCCGTGCGCACCAATGGCAGAACGTTGGAAGAGAGCTCAACCGTTGCGACCATCGCAAAACAAGAAGTAGAAAGAGAAGATTCGGCGGATGTAAAAATTCCTTTACATGGACATGAAGAATGCACCGTTCAGTTGGGTTCATTTGATTACACGAATCTCAAAGTTTCGATTGTAAGATCAAAATAATGGAAATTATGGAAAATAATGGAATTATTGGCTTCGCTTTTGAATATGTTATCGAGAAAAGAAAATTACACCAACAAATAGTGGCATTCATCTATATGGGAATCTAAAGGAGAAATTTGGTGAGTCTTGTCAATGTATTTGTTCTTCGTGAGTGAATTATATGAGATATATTTTGTAGCAACAAAGAGCAGTGTGTGGGTAATGGAATATTTCCTTCATTTAACAATATTAATAGTAGAAAAATGCTTAATGATTGGAGGTCATTTAACACTTCTCTTTCTCAAATAAACTCTTTTTATTTTTTGAAGTAAAATATTTATGATAGTAAAAAAGTTATTTTTGATGTTAGGATAGGACTGAATTTAAAAAAACTTAATTTTTTTTTATAAATGATCATTTTACACTCACCCGTGACCCTCATGTAAGGAAGGAGGGGATGTGAGGATCATCATCGTGTCAGCAAACCCTATCAACCCCATCAAACTTACCTATGCAAATAAGAGCTATGAGTGAGATGGGAGGCAGCGATCAAGCTCAGATTTAGGGTTACGAGTAGTAACAATAAGCCATCCCATGAGAGCTTCAGGCGATAATGATGAGAATTATGTACAGCAAGTCTTTATGCATGACCATGAGTGATGACAACGGCTCTCACCTCTTCCTTCTCCGTGTGAGAGTCGTAGATGATCACAACGACAACGACGTAAAGTAGAAATGATGACGAGTCTAACGATGGTCAAGAATAAAATGATCATTTTAAAAAATAAATATTTTTTAAAAATTTAGATACTTTATGAGAAATTCTCAAAACTAAGATATTTTTTGAGCACGACAAAGGCTGATGAGTGAGATGGAGGGGGATGACTAGGCTTGAGTTTAGGGTTACGTTTGCTCTGAGCTTTCGAGGAAGACAAACTGATGACAACAAGCACAGACGTGGCTGCTGCCACATCCGTTTTGTGTTCCTTCCCCACTCCAAAATCGTGACTCTGCAGACAACGCTCCCAATTCCAATTCCAATTCCAATTCCAACACATGAGTTCAAATCATCAGAACAATTAATGCAGTATGTGTTCATTTATTGCATGGGAGATGCTATAATTCTACTTTTATTAAGCCATATTAAATTAAGCCTTTGCTTCGTATAAGTAATTTAATTAGTCTAAATTCCCACCAATCTTAATTAAAATATTGTTATTATAAAATCTTATGTCATAAATACGTGCTTATTATTGTAAAAGGAAACATCATAACAATATATTCCTCATGTGAAAGACCAAATTAGTTAGTTAAGTTTAACTAAACAAAGCATTAATTCATAATTAAGTTCAATTAGAAATTTCATGGGCTTCGCTTTGAATGCATCATAATGTCTCTAAAAAAGAGTCACGTATTATTCATGTGAAATATTTAATTATAATAACCTAATTTTAATTAGTTTAAATTCCTTCTGATCTTAATTATCGATTTTATTTTAGATTTTGAGATTTCATAAAATTATTTGTATTATAATCTGAGTATTTTTTTTAATGAAGATTTCTAATTTCTAATTACTAATTTCCTTTTGTTAGAAATAAAAGGGGTTTCGGTTTCTCCAATTTATAATTTCCTATTTTTTCTTTAAAAACGAAATTAGAAATGGGAATAAAAGCTTTGGTTTCTGTGGAAAGTAGTAGAAACAGTGAAAAAGGTCGCTCTTTTCTTCGCCCTTGCGCGCACACAAATCATTCGCCCTCTCTCTACCATGGCCAATTCCCTTCTTCTAGGGTTTCTAGGGCTTGCGGCGCTCCTCCTCCCCTTCGGGGCCGTCGCCGCTGCCTCCTCCTTCACGTCGTTTTCTGCCGCCAGTTCCATCCACGACCTCCTCCGCGCTTACGGCCTGCCCGGGGGGCTCCTCCCCCGGGAGGTCGATTCCTACACCCTGGATCGGCCGTCCGGCCAGCTCGAGGTCCGGCTCGGCCGCCCCTGCTACGCCCGGTTCGATGGAATGGTCCTCTTCGACAGCGTGGTCCGGGCCAATCTCACCTACGGCGGCCTCCGCGCCCTGGTCGGCGTCTCCCAGGAGGAGCTCTTCCTCTGGCTCCCCGTTCGCGAGATCCTCGTCTCCGACCCCTCCTCGGGCGTCATCCTCTTCGACATCGGCCTCGCCCACAAGCAGCTCTCCCTCTCCCTCTTCGAGTCCCCACCGGACTGCAGCACGGGCGAGGAAGGGGAAGGGCTTTCCGGCCCCAGAGGTGGTGACCAACCACTAAAGATGGGTTTTTGATGAAGGTCTTGAGGTGAACATATAGTCTCTGTTCTTGTCTTCCGGGTCGATTGTAAATGATAACAGGATTGCTGTTTCTGTTCTAGTAGTGCTTTTTCTCTTGCCTCATAACCTATTTATTGTTTGAGTGATTTCATCTTCTCTGTTTAAAAAGCTTGCTTGTTGAGTAATTAAAATCAGATGAGAGGCCAATAGCAGCTGTCGTAGTTGCTACCACTTGGCCATAGAAGGGAAAGAGAGACTTGGGACAGAGATCGGAGAAGTCTTAAAGATGCAATCTTGATTATGAATTTGTGCTGAAGTAATATAGTCTCTTTTTTCTCTGCTGGGTTGCATGGATTCTAAAGGGTGGAAGAGAGTCATTTCTAGATGAAACAGGTCTTCATCTTGATTTGGTCTTCCAATTTTGGTTTTGAATATAGTTGATTTGGGGATTCATCGTCTAATGATAACTCTGCTGTTAAATCCTGTACCTCTGCTGCAACTCAATGTCAGTCCTTGATTTCCTTTACCAATAAGATTGGACTCTGCTTCGATAGTTGGATCTCCTTCTTGTTTGTTGCTTTGATCTACAGATTTCAGTTTAATTCTTTCTGATTTGTTTGTTCATTCCAAAATATACTGTATTCAATTGCAAATACTGACTTTGTGAATTGAAGAGTGCTATAATATGATGCTATTTACTTATCTGAGTTGTGTGACATGAGTTGTGGCTGTGGGTTTCATCCAAGTGAAACATTTTCTGCAATTAAATTGTCCAAACTTGGCTGTGTTTGAATTCTGATGTCGTATTGAGTTTGAATTGCTTTTTGTTGTACTCTGTAGATGACTGTAATTTGTTTTCTGTTGAATATTTTCAGATAGGCTTCAAATGGATCCCCTGCATCTCCTCACATCAAAATAATTAATACAATCTATTTTTTTCCCCATGAAAGTAGGATTCAAGTACTCAAATATTAGTTTAATAAAGATTTTTCTTCTTGTTCTTGGTGGTTTTAGTGATTTAAGTCTGTAGAAAAGTCCTCACCAAATCTTAGTATTTTAACGTATATCTGTGTGTCCTGCTAATGTATCTCCATGAAGCTTGCTTCAAGTTAATTTTGAAAAAAAATGTTTATTTTGATGGTAAACAAAGAAAACATAGCTCAAGACATTTTTTTGGTGTTAATTTCACCTTTTGACTTTGCAAGTGCTTCTTGTTCAAAGTGTTCTAACTGAACCAGGTTTACCGTAGACAAAGAAAGGATTCCAAAAGCAAAATCAAGGAAAAAGATTTGAAGATGCTTTGCATTTTTCTTCCTTTCAGTCTACTTTCTCTTCCTCTTTTTGCCTTAGCATGAAAGCATTGAATAAAATGTTGGAAATGCTTTGTGCCAAAGGAATCCTGATGACCCTAATTCTAAATTCCCCATCAATCCCACAGCAATATTTTTTGGGTGGCTTTTTTTTCTTTTTGTTCTGTGTTTGTGGGTCTCAAAAGCACTGCTCATAAAAGAAAGAGACACTTGACTTTCTTATGCTTCTTGTGACTACTGCAGCAGTGCTGCATGGGTCCCAATGCTTTGATTAGTTCATCATGTACATTCATTCCATTGTTTTTGTTGTGTTAGAGGTAAAAGATTGCCAAATAATTTTACATCCAAACCTTTCTGCTGTTTCTGTACTTTTCATGGCTCAATTGATAGCCACTCTTATCTTCTTCCACTTATTGGCATTAACAACTTGTTTCTGCTTGTTGGTGGCCTCTCTCATGTGACTACAATTAATGCACACTTCTTTAGTTCAAAGAGTGCAATATATTTAATTTTCAGGTCTATGGTCAGTAGAAGATATATACTGAGAATAATAGTTGTTGTTGTGTGTGTTCAACAAGATATCTAGCTAACCCTATTATATGTTGCTTATAATTGTCATGATTTATTTTCACTCTAGTGTATTGGTATCTTAAATTACTGGTAAAAAGATATCTTGAGATCTTTGAGAATTTCTTGTTATCACAGAAATTATATCCCTGAAATATTTTTCTTTGAAAAAAGATAATTAAATAAGCCCCCAAAGGAATTCCATGACAAGAAAAAACAGGGAGATCCATTACCCATTAAATAGAGTGATGTAAACACTAAGTTCTTGTAAGCATTCAGATCAGAGAACAAATAGGAAGGAAATATATAGTTTAATGGAAGATCTCTCTCTCTCTCTCTCTCTCTACGCTATTTTCTGTACTTCAAAATATTACATGCATGCCTCCGTTGAGATCCCAGGGAAAACGAAGAGCAGAGCAGAACAAGATCACACTTTGCTCTCGGAGCTCCTCTTCCTGGTGATCCGGATGTACGCGAAGATGGCGGCGGCGAGCCCTCCAAGGATCACCCCGGCCCCCGCCACCGACTTGTCCGACGACCGGTGGCGATGCATCGAGTGGCGCGACGTGCTCTCGGGTGCCCCGGCCTCGCGAGGCCCTCCGAGCTCCAGGGCGGCGACCCTCGACTCCGCCGGCGTCGGCCGAGCCACTGCTAGTGCTGCCACGAGATCAAGAAAGACCAGAGTGAGGGGGAGAAGGAAGCGTGTCATCGATAGAACAGTACGCATCGATCGTTCGGGGCTTTAAAGGAGGAAGCTTGGAGATACGAGGGTGGAGGTGTGTGTCGAGGCGGATCGTATCTTATATTAGATGCTCGGTAATGACTCAACCATTATTGTTTCGACTCTTTCGAGGCAGGTTGGCTCCATTGTTTACTGTGGAGAAGGTGAGGAAGACGCAGCTGCCTGCGTTAGCGACAGTGGAAGTACGACTGCGGTAAGTGTACTAATGGGTATGAAAGATTAAGCGAAATGACTTCTATGCCCTCTAGTTATGTTTGTTATTTTAGTAAATATTATAAAATCATTAAAAATAGAAGAACCAAATGGTTTTCAAGCTGAAACTTAAATTATGATTTTTGTGTGGATTAAATAGGTTAAATTATTATATTCAAAAGAGAAAATTATAATGAAACATATACCAAAAAAGAGGGCCAAGATCGTCATTTTACCACGGAGCGATTACTTGAGGATTATTTTTATTATTTTATTTTTTGAAAATTATCCTTTAAATAACTATATTTAAAAAATATTTTACAAAATAAATAAGATCAAAATATTAATTATATATTATTCCTTATAATTAGTTATATTTAATATCTTATTTTTTATATTTTAAAAATTATATTAAGATATCTATGATTACTAAAGTAAAATATTGAGATTTGCATATAAAGTTAAAAAATATTTTAATAAAATTAAAAATCAAATGAGAGGAGAGTTTTGTTGAAGCCACTACTTCACTTTAATAAATATAAAAATTTTAATATAATTTTTAAAAATATAACGATCTAAATATTAAAAATAAATAATTATAAAAATAATATGTATTTAGTCTAATATCACCTTAAGCGAGAAGGAAATACTAAGATGACGTCGTTGCGTCAACACGAAGCAATATCGTGGCTTCTTTATTCGATTCCTCGAATCCAGTCTGAGATCGCATCCTACCCGCTCGACTTACCCTCTTTTCGCTTTCTTCTCCCAACGCAAGCCTTTCTAGGTAGGCCCCACACATCCCGGTGGTGACACGAACAGAAGGAGCCATCGACGGGTAGTCTGTCGGTGACGCCAAACATTACTCTCCGTTTTTTCCCGACAACTTTATACGATCCCGCTTCGCTTTCGTGTCCCATCGCGAATCGGATCGCAACCATTTCACCTTCTCGATGAGCGCCACGCCACTTGTCGTCCGCTTGGTCGTATGGTAAGTCGTTGCCTGATGCGCTCCTCTGCTCGGCTTTAACCTCTGGGGATCACGCGGGTGAGAGACGCAGAGCGGCTGAGTGAACGAGATGAGTGGAGGAGCCATGAAAACCGCCGCGAAAGCCGCGACCCTCTGCGGCTACCGATTGGTCGGCCCGCTCGCCGGCCGTGCGTCGGCAATCGCGCGGTGGCCTTTCAAACCGGTCAACGTGACCGTCTCCGCAGCGGCACCGGCCGCCGAGGGAGGGCCGTCGATCTCCGTCTCCACGACCGATAACGGTCTCCAAGATGCGGTTCCTGTCTCGGCGGTCCAGAGGCCGCCGTTGGAGACCCATGACCGGGAGACCAAAGACGAGAACTTCGATGGGTGGGCAGAGTACGAGCAGGGGATCACCTTAGATCCGGTGCAACCCGCCCCAAGGCTCGTGTTCGGGTCCATTCCGACACTGGAGGAGGCCAAGGAGGCCACTTCCGATCTGATAGATGCCTTTGACAAGTAAGCTTCGTCTTTGAACTCTCCTTTTCTTAAACGTTTGATGGAGTTTCTCTCTTTATATAATAATCGGGAATACTTCCCCCAAATTCCGTGTTCTATGAGCGGAAATTTTGTGTAGGGCACAAGTTTAGTAGGATTGACATTAGTGGCTCAAGCTATTCATTTCCGTCGTCTTTAGTTCTATTGTACGCGATATAAGAAAGTTACTTTTGCCTGTGCATCCAAATGAGGATTTTCTGGGGAAAAAGGTAAACATATTTGAGTTCTTGATTTCATTTTGAAGTTTTTATTGGTCAATTTTAGTGATCGGAATCTTTTAGGTAAGATCACTACAGTTAAATCTCCAATTTGTGATATCTTATGATTAATAAAAATACCAAGCAAGTTTGATCTCAGTATTGAAATCATTCACCTACTGGACATGAACTTACTGTAAATGATTACAAGCTTTAATGTGTTGGCTAATGCAAGATTGGCTAGGATATTGGGGATAATGGTGTAACATACTGGCTTTGCAGTGTTGGTGTTCGAGAGGAATATAGACAACTTGTTTAGAGTTTCTCCAGTAACAAATTTAAGGGCCAAAGATAATTTTTTTATTTATAAAGAAATTGAATTATGGTTTTTCTCCTCATATCGATTATTTAAAAAAATGACAAGAGCAGAAGCCAAACATAGAGAGGGCCAATGGACATCATTAAGTCTGATGGTAACATCAAATCAAATATTATTTTTCGAATAACACATGATACATCATAAATTTGGACTGAGAATTTCACATAATGTAGAGAAATCATAATAACCCCTAAAACTACTTAGGGTTTGCATAAGATAAGTTACCAACCATATTAGGTTACTTAATTATGAAAATATTTTCTAAATTTATCTATATCATGGTTATTCGGAGCTTAAACCTTGATCCTCGATCAGATTTCTATCTTTGATTGGGATATCTCTTTGAACTATTTTTCACTCCTTTAATTCAGATTTTGACCTCATTTTGAAGAATATCTTCTTGTGTGTCTTGATCACATTATTTATCATGTGAATTGAATATATTTATCTTTTTATTCCTGTAAACTAATGAAATGTTGAAAATACTTAATACCACAAGCAATTCTTTAGTACCATTTATCTTAAGAGGTAAGTAAACAAACATGGGTATACCCATGGGAGTAATCTTAATCGATGGATGGAGTACGACAAATACATTGATTCAAATAAATACTCCCTCTTAAAATAAGGAGTCCTCTATAGGGATAGCATCAACTGAGTGGACTGAGTGGAATATATCAAGATACATGTCTGGTCGATACCTGTTGTAATCAGATCTTGAGTTCATTTTGGACTCTTTAACTGAGGAGAGAAGGATGTTATGATAAACACAAATAACTATAACCAGCTAGATTTCTATAAGCAATGCCAATAAATAAATCCCTTGACAAACTCATTTAAGCTATAAATAGCAAATGTGATCAAAGCTGAAACATAATGTCCTTATCTCGGCTTCTAACCCAATTATGATGCCAAAATACATAAACAAAACAATAGAAGTCTAACAAATGTTTCTATTGAAATAATAGGAAAATAAAGTTTGACTAATTCTAGTACAACCAAGACAGTAAGCTAAATTAGATTCAACTTTGCTCCAACATAGCATTAATTAACAAATATTGACAGGATTTAGTGCACAAGAAAAATTGATTTTGTTTTTAGATGTCATGAGGTGAAGGAAAAAAAACGAAAAGGACCTGGTTAGAAACAGTATGCAGGCACTTGATTACCCTTACCTATGTGTTTAAATTATGGGACATGGCCATGTACCTTGCCCTAATAGACTGTTAATAGGAGCTATGTTGCAGTGAATGTTTTTCTTTTTTTTTTGTTTTATTATAGGTTAATGTTCTATCAAGGTAGAATGACAAATAATGATTATAGACAAGTGTTAGGTGTGAATAAGAGGTAGGATTCTTTGAAAGGAATCTAAGGAATTTAAAATCCAGCAAAGTCCTATGTTTTTTACCTTAGTGCATAAAACATCTCTTAGGATTCACATGTTCTCTTTCACTCTTTGAAAAAATGTTGATGTCATAATCGGGAACATAGTTATACACAGAAGAGTAGGTTGAGCTGCATTCTAAATTTGTGTACATGTAATTACATGATGGATGAGATTCAAGGGCGCTGAACTGTTTCCTCCACCATTTGAGATTGATATAAGATATTGTATTGTACTTTCATCAAAGTTTTCTGATTCTTATGCAACAAAAAAAAAGGAAAGAAAAAACACAAAGTTGACTTCATGGTACAAACTCATGCTTCATCTACGAAACAATTTCAACTTTTCTTTGTCGTCTGTGATGGTGGTCTGGGAGGGAGAGGCATAGTTTCTAATAGCACAACATGGTATTGAGTCTATTGACTAAAAGCAATTGTTAAGAGAAGCATACAAGTGGGTTGCCACTGCGCATGTTGAAACTTAACACAGTGCACTAATTAGTGCCTTTGTTGCAGGGTGTATCCTCCAAGCCACAATGTTCCTGCCATAGAAGTTGCTCATAAGTCTGCCCACCATGAAGCTTCATCAATCATTCCATCAATGCCTAGGCATGTGGTTGAAACATTTTCACTGCTGCAACGAAGCCCTGAAGTTCAGGTTCAAAATAATACAGAAGTCTTGGGATCTCAAGATACACTTCTGCATGAATTTGGGCATGGATTTTGTTGTTCTTGAGCATTCTTATGATTGCTAAAATTTTCTATTGCACATGATATTAGCGTTTCACACTAACATAACCCTATGTCTCATATTCATGGTTAAGCATTTTTGTAGTGGTTTGTAATATTTTATACAAGATCTTGGTTGTGATGGACAATATACTGACTAGAAGGATTCAGGTGATGATTGCTAATCGTTCATTTTTTTTATTTTATGTACATATAGTTGCAGTTTTCCTTACAATTTTTATATTATTTTCTTCTTTCCTCTAATTACCAAATTATGTAGTTCACCTCCTCTTGTACATGATTGTCTTCCTGTCCAAACTTGCTATCGTATTTAAGGATCATTCAGAGTAATGCTTGTGTCTTGCCAGCAACTTATGTTTGTTAAGTTACTTTCGGCATTAACGGTCATCCACTTAAAATACTGCAGATTACATGGAAAGTCAAATGGTGGTACTGTTTGATGAGATCATGCTCTTCAGCATGAAATAACGGCACAAAGGACTGAATTATTGTCAGTAGCTATATGACTTGTCTAGTATCCACTTAGAATGTAATAATGACCCAAAGGACTCAACCACTGTCATTAGCAGAATTGTAACTTGTCTAGTATTTGCTTGTAGATCTGTAATAGTGTTATACTGTTGAAAGTTCGTCATTGGTGAAATTTGGTGACTCATTTACATAAATATGACAGCAGCCAGAATTTGCGTCATCTGCTCAGATGATATTTCTTTAGTAGAGAATCACTAGGATTTGAACACATTGTGGTACTTGGCTGATTCTTCTTCTTTTGTTTTTTATATCTTGGTTTAAACATAAAACATCTATGTAGATTCCCTGGGAATTGCAGTCTATTTCTGTGATTCTATGTGCAGACTGTGGTTGCTTCAATCGCTTCGGATGAGAATGTCTGGAACGCTGTGACGAAGAACGAAAAAGTGATGGAATTCTACAAAACTCACCTGTCAGGTAAGCATCTATTCACCTCTACAAACATCTGAGTTGTTACGAATGAGACTGATCTCAGTTTCTTCTGCAGTTGTTCATCCTGAACCAATTGTCACCACAGAGGTGCCTGTTGCTGAAAACGATCATGGATCTTCTTGTGCCAAAGCAAATAAAAGCTCAGCATTCTCAGACTTTCTGCATAATGTGAAGAATAAAGTGGTAGACATGGCATGCAACATATCCAGCCTCCTTCAAGAACATTTCGGGAATTCATCAGGGACTTCCAGCCCAAAGACTCCTGATGGACCATTTGCCCAGTTTCCTATGGGAGCATCCTTAATGACTCTGGCAATTACCGTAATCATGGTTGTATTGTTCAAAAGAGTATAGATTGAGATGCTGTCAGGACTAAATGCTTGTACTTTTGTGTGTTGGGATGCACTGAAAACTCTTCTGTTATCCATGTATCCATGTATCCATGTATGACTATTAATCTTCTTTCTTCTGTTTGTGTAGTTATTTGCCAGTAATATGTACATGTAGAGATGTTTACTGTCATTATTTGGGCGTTTATGTCTTTTGGAGTCTGACGACTCTGCTCAGGCTGGTTTGATCAGCATGGAAAAGTATCTGGCTGATTTCATCCGGGGAAGTTTAGGGGGTGATGTGGTCCACCTGCGTGGCATTTTCCTTTCGCAGGAGTTTGAATGGGGTTGGTTTTGTAAATTGCTCTCGCTATATGGAGGGAGGGGATTGCGACTCCTCCAACCACGAGCGATGGCGGCGGTGCGAATGGGAATCCGGCGCATCTTCTCCATCTCCGCCTCCTGCTGCGGCCCCTCCATCGCCGGAGCCCTCCACCAATCTCTTCGTCTCAGGCGAGCCCCTGGTTCTTCCTTTCCTCTCCGCTTTCTCCTCTTTTCTGTCTTCTCTTCTCCTCTCTTTCTTGTTGTGTGTGTCTAGGGCGTCGTCCGCGGTTGCTGATCATATTAACTGGAGAAAGGCACTACCTTTGATACCTATCGGTACTCAAGTTTCTTACAGTATTCAATGTCTTTCTTGTTGTGTGCTTGCTTGGTTATTCATTTGCTTTTCTTGAAAAAACCAGTCAAAGATTCTTCTTCACTTGTTTGCCGATTTTTCTGTGTGACGTTGATCTATGAAATATGCTTATCCCAAGAGTCTACTGATTCCAGGTGGAATTTATAACATGAAGGGTAGATTGTGGTTTCTTGATGTTATCCTTGTTGAGTCCGTTTGAAAGAACGAAATATTGTAGGACTGTTATGAAACCCTAAGTTTGCTTTAAGAAAATTGATAAAGTATGAGATTGTATAAGCCTAATCTTGCTTTTGAGAAAATAACAGCTAGCATTGATCCACATTCTTATGGTAGTTCATCACGTATAGAAGATAATTATTGACTACATGAATGGTTGATGAGTTGCATAATGTCAATGTTATGCCCTGATATGACTTAACTCTAAATAAAAAAAAATGATATTGTGTAAACGTCACCTTAAAATTCCATAACTACAGAGTTAATTTTTTGTTTTCATGTTTCATTGTATTTTCTCAATCACTTATATACTCATGGGTGATTTTTCGGTAAAAGCTTTTAAGTTTTGGGTTTTTCTCGGATAGCATCCCCATTTCTATATTTCCCAATGAGATCTCATTCCCTTTCTAAAAACTAAAAAGATCAAAATACCCTTAAAATAATATTTTCCTATCAAAATCTAGTTTGAGCTAAACAGTAGTATTACAGTGTCGTTGAGAGCTGTCATGTTCTTGGTTGCTTTTGGTCTACAATATTTCTGAATAGAGTTATAATATTTTTATTTATAATGATTTTGATTTGAGTTATAGTTTTTTTTGATTAATAACTCCACTGAAAAATAATATCTTATTAATTTTTATTATCATTTATTTATAATATATTATTATAAATACTATAAGGTTTTTTAAAATGTTTAGACTTAAATTTGAGACAAAGTGGAAAAGAATTAGAGCTTTTGGCATGACTTATTTTCAAATATGCCAAGACTTTCATAATTTTCACCCAAAATTATTTAAATTATTGTAATTATAATTCTAAAAATAAAAAGATCAAAATACCCTTAAAATAATATTTCTTATCAAAATCTAGTTTGAGCTAAACAGATCTAGTATTACAGTGTCATGTAGAATTGTAATGTTTCTGGTTGCTTTTTGTCTACAATATTTCTGAATAGAGTTATAATATTTTTATTTATAATGATTTTGAATTGAGTTATAGTGTTTTTGATTAATAACTCCACTGAAAAATAATATCTCATTAATTTTTATTATCATTTCTTTATAATAAATTATTATAAATACTATAAGGTTTTTTAAAATGTTTAGACTTAAATTTAAGACAAAGTGGAAAAGAATTAGAGCTTTTGGCATGACTTATTTTCAAATATGCCAAGACTTTCACGATTTTCACCCAAAATTATTTAAATTATTATAATTATAATTTTATGATACCTCCAAACCTATTGTAAAGTTGATATTTAATGTTAGTGAAAATTTTAATTAATTGAAGCCAAGTTATAATGTTCTTTATTAGAGTTATAATGTCTTGATTCAGTGACAAAACCACTGTTTGTCTATTCAAAATACTCTAACTAAGAATTTTTTTTATTAACGTCTTTTTGATAAATAAAATGTTAAAATATTTTTAAAAAATTCATGTTATGTAACAAAAATAAAGATTTGCTATCTTTTATTTTGAAATATGTCAAAATATTCTTAATTTTTATTCAAACTTATTTAAGAATTCTCAAATAAAATATAAAATGAAATCATAATACGTATAATAAGGTTAATAATTAATGCTTATGGCAATTTGAATTAATTAAGACTTAGTTACAATATTTTTAAATAAGATTACAATGTTTTTAAGTCAATAACCAAAAAAACTGTGACCCAATACAAAAATACTATAACTAGATTGGCTAAACCAAAAAAACTGTAATCCTATTCAAAAACATTGTAATGGGTTTGGTTCAGCGTTGAACTAGTTTATTTGGCTCGTTTAACATCAAACTAAGTCTAACTAGTTTGGTTTAACATCGAACCAGTTTAACTGGTTCAGTTTAACATCGAACTAGTTTAACTGGTTAGGTCTACTTGGGTTTTAGCGAAAACAAAAATTAAAGTTGTAAGCTGAGGTCATCTTTGTCATTTTAAACAGTAGAAGCTCCTTAGGCATTTTTGAAATGAGGGGTGCTATACGAGAAAATCCCAAAACTTGTGGCTTTTCTGAGAAATTACCCTATACTCATTACAAAATAAATTAATTCATTCATTTATGAGTAAAACAAAAATTCCTTGAAACATATTAACTATTAGTGCAAGATCATCATTCCCAACTTGATAACCTGGTTTCCTTTGTCTGAAAAAAATAATAAAATATGTAGCATTCATGTTGAATAGGGGTGTGATCCTCTTTATTATTTTCCTAATTTGAAAAGTTAAATGTGACATACATCTCATCCTTCATTTATTTATTTCTTAATTTTTTATACCTTGATATATATCTCATCAATTATTATTTATTTTTATTTCACCTTATTATAACCTATATTTTTGGCCAATTAGAACTCGACATAGAGCTCGTCACGTTAGCATGAGTCAGAGGGGAAATATTCTTCAAAATATTATTGTTTCTAGGAATACTTTCTTTAACACTCTATAAATGTCTCTCACGTATTGTTCGGATTTAGAACTCCTTGCTTGACTCTTAGCTGAGACTTCTCATTGACCTAAGCATTGGAGTGATCAGAATCCCCCTTGGCTCTTCCTACATGAGCAACACACCTTGAGGAATTCTATCTTGCATAATTGATTGAACCCGTGGATATTTGGTTCTTGTGACACTAACCTTCTGGAATTGGGCCAAGTCAATTTAGTTTCATAACGTGGATCGGTGACTAATTTTGACATTAACTGTTTGGCACAATCACATAAAATCTAGAATTAAGAAACCCTTCAAGAACTCGCAGGTGAGGAAACTCCTCATCCGGCCTTATGGACGATGATTAACCCTGGATCGGGCTCAATTCCTCGGGCCATGGGGACACTAGGACTGACTCTTGCTCCACCTTATTATCACCAAATCTTTAGTGATCCCTCGGTACCCTCGGCCTTAAGAAATCCAACTCAAGTCATCGTACCTGCTAAGCCCTTCTTCGAATTCACCTTGTAAGTCTAGGCCCTTACGAGAGAGATGTGGATAGTCATTCCATTCCTTCTGTAGTTAGCACAATTGGTGATTACACAAAACCTTATGCCTCATCAACCACAATCTAGGATTCCTTTGCGGCTCACATGCCCACCAAGACACTAAGGCTCAATCAACCAATATGGGTTATGTTGTCCAGGCTTAATTGTAAGAAATACTTCGCTCAAAGACTTGAGGTGCGAAATCCTATATGGCGAGGAAGTGGCATCAATTGACTATTATGGTATCCAATTTTTCGATGCTATACTTGGAGATATTCGACAAAAGCACCTACAACAACATTTAAGGTGGCCATGACCGTATATGCGCCTTGCACTAATATGTGGGTGGGTTGTTGCCCATCACCCTATAGGAAATACGAGAAAATAGTAATCATTGTAGAAAAGAAAAAGCATGATGGTCGTCCTCGTGATCCTATGAGGGAAGGATGAGTTGTTGCCAAACTATATCTCAAGATTCAAAAGACAAATGAAGTAGTTGATGCTCACCCCTCAGTGCTTATCTATGCCCTTATATACATCCTATAATAATCTTTGGTCCACTTGTCGATGACCAAGAAATCCCCGAAAACATTCACTTAATTACTTCAAAAGGTGAATCAACACAGTTGTTGAATCTCTAGGGGAGAAGGATGACATCAGGAAATGGCCTAGAAGTGGATGACCTTCTTGACCTCAATGTCCATTATCCTATAAGCGAGAAGCCAAATCTGTCTTGCGGAGGTCATTGAATTATAAGCGAGTTGTGGCTCAACTCTAAGGTCCCAAAGTTTAAAGATTGGAGTTCTGGTTTTGTGGAAGGCTCAACTCTAAGGCTTCACTCGAGCTATGGCCAAGTTGTACCCATACTTGTATGAACTAACATTCATATGTTGAATCCTAATGACTCCTTGTAACGTGCAATCTCCTCGGCGAATCATGTCGGGTGAAGAACCATCTCGGCTTGAAGCTACTCGATCTGTCATCAATGATCTTGCTCATCTCACCAACTTCACCTTGGAGGTCCTTAGCGTGACTCTTTAAGTCAACATTTTCACCGTGAAGCCTTTGATTCTCCACTCGAGTTTCATAGAGTTGTATGTGCAATTGATGTTTGGATTCCTTATGAGCTCTCTCCATCTCGGGAATGGTTGCTTTGGCCTCTGTCAAATACTTCTCCATTTTTGCTAATTGGCCTTGAAGGTGAGTCAACTCTTTGGGCTCGATAGTGTGTCCTCTCCATATAACTTGTTTTTAAGATCGTCAATCTCCTTATTCATGTTAGTTATGAGGATCCCAGAGAACATGATCTATCAATGACATGACCGAATGGATGTGCTGTGTAATAGAGCAACAAGTTGAGATACATATTATCAACATTGAGACATTAATTAAGGATTACCTTCACCATGTCCTTTACAACATATGTGACCATTGCCTCAATGGGAGCGAAGTAAAGTTCCTTTGCCAACTCAGGATCAAGCTACCTCAAAGGTAATTAATCCCTTGATGGGCGTCCCTACAAGGTTGTGCATCTTTGGGTAGTACCCACCTAGCTTCAAGCTGATCGGAGGACTCAAGAGAGTTCATGATCCAATTCATTGCAAACCCAGTGCCATTATAATCGTAGGGTTCACTTAGGCGAGGCCCTTTTGATTGCCAAGGATGCTAGTTCTCGATCGCTTTGCCATTGGAGCCATGGTCTGTGGCTTGTGAGGAAGCCGAACACAAGAGAGGGGTGCCCTTGGAGCCCAATGCACCCCCAGTCATATGGGTCT